TTTATTAATAATAAAAATAATTAAAAATTTAAAAATTTTAAAAAAATTAAAAATAATTTAAAAATAATTAAAAATATTATATAAATTAAAATTAAAATTTTTTTATAATTTTATAAATAAATTTTAATATTAAAAAATAAATAATATTAATTATATAATATACCTATTATTATCCGTATAATAAAACGGGATATATACCTCGTTTTTTTTTTACTTTTTTAACGTTTTTTTTAATAATTTTATAAATTTTAACCCGAATTATATATAAATTATATTAAAATTTATATTAAAAAATAAAAAAAATTACAGTTTAAAATATACGTAATTTAACCTTAAATTTATTAAAATATTAAAAAAATAAACATTTATATATATAAAATAATTTTTTTATTAATATTTAATTTTAATTTATTAACGTTTAATTTTAATTAATTAACATTTAACTTTAACCAATTAATATAAAGTTAATATATAAAATTAATGAAATTAAATTAAACTTTATTTAAATTTTATTTATAACATATATTAAAATCTTTTAATATAAATCTTTAAATAAACTTAAGGTAATAAACATTTATATATATAAAATAACTTTTTTATTAACGTTTAACTTTAATTAACTAACGCTTAACTTTAACCAATTAACGCTTAACTTCAACTTATTAACGTTTAACTTTAACCAATTAACGCTTAACTTTAACCAATTAACGCGAGGCTGATATATAAGGTTAACGAAACTAAGTTAAGCTTTACTTAAGCTTTATTTATAACATATATTAAAATCTTTTAACATAAATCTTTAAGTAAACTTAAGGCATACATTAAACAACGTTTACATTATTATAAACTTATTTAAATACTTTTAAATATTATTATTAAAATATAATTTATAAATATAATTTATAACATTTTAATTAATAATAACTATTAAATATTAATTATTTTAATAAAATTAATATTTACTTTTTAAATTAATTTAATTAATAATAATATATAACATTATTATTAATATATAATTAAAAATAAATATTATATCCCGTATAAAATTTTTATTATTTTTAATATTAATAATAAACACGCCATTAACATATTTTAATATTAAATTAATAATTTTTTAAATACTTTTAATAATAATATATTAAATAAAACTTAATTAAAAGATATTTTTAATTAATTTTAAATTAATAATATTTAAATAAAAAAGTTAAATAAAATATAACATTTTTAAACCGTAATTATAACTTTTTTTATTATAAAAGAATAATAATAATTAAAATATAATTTATTATAATACGTTATAATTGTTAAAATAAATAATAATTATTAAAATAAATAAATAATTAATAATTATTATATATTAATAATAATTTTAAAAAATAATATTAATAAAATTATTATAATTATTTTTATATTTATTAAATAAGATTTTAAAGTTAAATATTTAATTTTATATAATTAATAATTTATATTTTAATAATTTAAAGTTAATATTTTTTAAAATTTTATTTATAAATTAAAAATTAATATTATCTTTAAATAAATTATTTATAATAATAAAATTATTTATTAAAAATATAAAAATATAAACGTTAAAAGCGTTTTATAATAAAAATAAAGCATAATAATATTTAATACAATTTTTATTAATATATTAACCGTAATTAAAATATTATACGTTTTTTTAAATTAATAACTTTTAAAAAATATAAAAAATTAATTAAATAAAATTTAACATAATATAAAAAAATATAAGGATAAAAATTAACCATTATTTATAATTATAAACATCTTTAATTTCAAGTTAATTAATTATAATAATTTAAATAAAAAAAATAATTTTTTAATTTTTATATATAATTATTAATTATTTATTATATTAAATATAATTAAAGATATTATAAAATAACTTATTATAAAATTAATAAACATTTATTATTTTTTTTTTATTTTTATTAATAATAAATATTTATAAAATATAATTAATGTTATATTATAATTTAATAATTTTAAGAAAAAGGGTAAAATCATTAAAAACTTATATTTTAAAAATTAAATAAATTAAATTAACTATTAAATATTTAATAGTTTTAATCTTATATTTTAATAAAAGTAATAAATATTTAAATAATCACTTTTTTTAAAAAGGAATTATTAAACACCATTAAATTTAAAAAAATAAACTATATACATTAAAGTTAATAATAATAAAATAATTAATTAAATTTTATATAATATTTTTACAATTAAATTTTAAATTTTAAACTTTATCTTTAAAATTAAAATTATTATATATAAATATAATATTTAAGTTATAAATAATACATTTTAAATTATTTTATATATTATTAATTTAATTAAACGGTATAATTAAAGTTATAAAGATTTATTTGTATTTATTTAATTATATTTTTTAATTAATTAATAATAATTTTATATCTTTAATATATTTTAAATTAAATTAACGTTTTTATTATTTAACGTTATATTTTATTATTATAAAAATATAAACTTATAAAAAAAAATAAGAAGTTATTTTACTTAAATATATAAATACTTAATAATAATATAATAATTATATATACTTTAACTTTATATAAGAAATTAATATTAAGTTTAATTGTATATTATAATTTTTAATTATTTTATTTATTATTAAATATAATAATTAAAAATGTATTAAATATAAAAGTTTTAATTATTATTTAAGGTTAAAAGAATTTAAAAACATTATTAATTTAATTTATATTATAAATATTTTTAATAACGTAAAACGTATTATTTAACGTTATAAAAAAATTTGGATTAAATTTTTTAAAAATGAATTAAAATATTAAGGTAAAGAATTTATTATAAAAGATAAACGTATTAATATTATTTCCTTTTTTAATATTATTTTTTTTTTTAATATTACCTTTTTTTTTAATATTATTTATTTTTTCCTTTTAAAATTACAGTTATATGTTAATTATATTTAAACATTTTTAAACGTATGGTTTTTATAATATTTTAATTATTTATGTTATTTTTTTATTTATATATTTATTATTATTTCTTTTTTTAAAAAACCACTTTTTTATAAAACATTTAAATATATAACCATTTTTTCATTTTTATTATTAATATTTATATATATTAATTATAATTTAATTTATTTTTATATAATAAATTAATATAAGATTATTTTTAATATTATTATTAAATTTATTATTAAATTTATTATTAAATTTATTATTAAAATTATATTATTAAATTTTCTTTATAAAAAAAGGGAAAATAAATAATATAATATAAAAAAAGTTAATTAATTTAAACGTAAGTTTTAAAAGGATTATATTTTATTTATATATTAAATAATATTATAAAAGTTTAAGTAATTAAATATAATAATTAATTTAAAAAAATAATAATAAAAGATTTAATAATAATAATATAAAATTTAATAATTATAATAATAATAATAAAAAAATAATTAAAAAGGGTAATAATAAAAAATTTAATAATAATAATGTAAAATTTAACGGTAATAATAATATATTTATAATTAAAATTTAAATTACTTTATAAATATAATAAATATAAACATAAATGATTAAAATTAAATAATTAATTAAATGGTTAATTAAATAATTATAATTATAAGAAAATTAAACGCGGATATAATTAATAATAAATTTTTAAATTAAAATTTTTTAATATTATTATTATTAATTAAAAGGGTATTAAAAGAGATATTATTTATAAAGGCTTTAAATTAAAAATTAAAAAATATTTAAAGGGGTAAAACGGGGTTATAATTAATTAAAAAATGGTATGGTTAAAGAAAGTATATCCTTTTAAACGAATTTTCCAATCTTAGTTTAAGGTTACCTGAGATAAATAAGCAAGGTTTTACTTATAAATGTATAAATTAACAAAGAGCCTTTAATATAACATGAATATATGTCCTTTATTAAAGTTACCTTTCACAGGTAACTTATCCTATCAATTCACCCCACTATTTGAAAACAACGCGTCACAGCATTAACCGAGTACTCTAACAATCCCAAAGTTAAATACATGTACTTTATGTACCTTGTGGACTTAGGACAGTATTATAAATGTACCTGAGATAAATACCTAATAACAAATAAGTACATGATAAAATATAAAATGCAGCCAATAAAATAAAATGTGATGGTCTATGTTTAGCTCCTTGTGATCAGACATATGGGATTATGGGATTATTTGCATCCTACCCATACTGCTATTCATACTTCTATTCAACAAACTAAAGTCTCCCAGAAAATCAATATAAAAGACTGATTAAACACCACACGTTTTTATTCCGTTTGCTATTCTTTGTTTTTTTACTATGAACTCAACGACTAGGTACGGTACTAATCATGTCTGGCATTCCTATTACGAACGAAACGAAAAACGAAACGAGAACGCCGGGGCTGATGCGGGGATCTGGGAAATAACACCGATATAAAGTAGTGGTCCATAATGTCATCATCCGGGCATCGAGGAGAATCGGCTTCTCTAGAGCACCTCAACCTGGAAAATTCATAGCCCCCCCTTGTTCGACGCCCGCCAAAACGCCGAACCTTTGCGCCCCTTGAGGATGAATCTTTGCCGCTCCCGTCTCTGCGGCATCATACCCGTTTGTGAATAATCTGGCCAGAAACCCATGCCCAGCGCGTGTAGAATCTAGTTGAGATGATTACCATTTGCGCTAAGCCAATAGTTGATATTGGATTCCGATGATCTAGCGGGGTAACTTAATCTTCCCAGCTCTTCTCTACCGTCTCGCGAACTCTCTTAGTGTACTCCTTTCGGTTATCCTTGTACAGGTTGGACGCCTCCACGTTCGCAGGGGAACCGGTGTTGGGGTCGTTGAGTAGACTAATTCCAACGACGTTAGCTTTCGAATTATCCAATAGTCCTATTAAAGTCACTCTTTCCTACCTTTGAATGCTTGTTAAGACGGCCGCAACATCGTACGTGGGACTCCATCGATTCTGGAGGATATCTAGACACAGCTCGCCTGTGGCATAGACGTTAGGGTGGAACATCTGGCTGATGAATTTAACGGCGGGCGGCTTGTTCGGGTATTGTTCTTCGAAGTGCATGACAAGTCGGAAGGTTCCATCTTCAAACGGGGTGTCGGCAGGGCCAATGATGACAGCGTTCCTTTGCGAAGCTATTGTTAATTTCGTGTGTTGCCATAGGGATCGACTAGCAATTCGTAAGCTTACCAAGTCATAACATTGTCGGGAACAGGAGAAGCAGAGACGCCAGCGGGAGGGTCGGTTTGCATGCGCTATTAAATCATATTAGCGACTACCTGGACATCATGGCTAGCAATAGAGGTCTAACCTTGAAGTCTCGCATTAAGCGACGGCGGGCAGCGGTCGACATCTTGATCTGACCTGGAAGGGTTTGGGATGAGGATGGTCTAGTTGGGTAATCTCTAGAGATGAGATTTCTGTAAGCAAGTGCCGGCTTGTTTGAATATCGAAGGGGCGATTCGTAAAGGATTAGGAGAAAAAAGAGAAAAGTATCGTGATGGGATGAGGCGAATGAAGTTGACTAATTGGTAATATGATGGGGTTTTGGGCGGCGATTGTCTTAGTTAGAGGTATTGGCCGGGAACCTGGATTGACGTGATAAGAAACGGTACATCGGTACTTTGAACGGATGTACATAAGTAAGTCATGAAAGAAAAGCGTTCGCGCGGCAGCGTTGTCACGTGGTAGACACTTGCATCCGGCCGTGGTTGACTTATGTAATACAGTTTCCATATATCCTGCACCTTCCCGACTCTACCTGATAAGTACCTAAAGAAAGCAAGATAAGCGTGGTTGAGGAAATTCAATGTTTCACCAATAGTAGCACACTGTTGTACGAAGGTCCGGGCCAAAAGTCTTGCACATGTGGAGGTCCCTAGCACCGTATTCGAACGTCATCCCTTTCTATCCTTAGCGTCAGATTGGGGGTAGTGGTAGCCGTATATATACAGTATACATACGGCTCCCAGGTATGAGCCGCTCCCAGATGTTAGGGAAAAACGTGAAGCTCACCAAATTCATACGCATTAGCGCTAGGAGCCAATCAATATTTTTTGAGTGGTACAACTGGTGCGCCGCTCTTGCACTGTAAGCCGCTCGACCAATAAGCGGCTCGTGGCGGCTCGTGCGCCCCTCACACTTTTTGCGCCGCTCGCATCTCTGCGCCGCTCCCGTTTTGAGCGGCTCCCACCAGGGAGCGGCACGTGCACTGCTCCAGGTAAGTGCATATTACCTAGTATGTAAAATTAAAAAGTATATCCCCATACGTTTTTGTATGGGAATCTACTTGTATGCATTGCAGTTGAGATTACGGGCTTCGGGTTACGGGTTACAGTAATTGATTTGAATTCAAATGATTTAATTGGAAGGTTACGTGTTTTTCAAATAGACTACGGGGCATATTATGTTACATATTACGGGCACGCGTGTGGACTTGTAATTATGGGGTATAACCTGGTCTATGCGCCCGGGGTTATGTAATAATACCCTGTACGTACCGCTCAATAGGGGAGCCGCTCAAATCGGGAGCGACGCTAAAAGTGTGAGAGGTGCACGTGCCACTCCCTGGTGGGAGCCGCTCAAAACGGGAGCGGCGCAGAGATGCGAGCGGCGCAACGGCAGCTCATTGGCTGGAGCCGTACTAGTACGACTAATTTTGGCCTAGCGCTCCGAATATTTGGCGCGTTTAAACCGTAAGCGGTAATATTACTACTTAAATATTTGAGTCACTTAACTCTTTAAACGTAAGAATCGGGAGCCGCTTATTGAATTGAGTGGGATAAGTACGGCTTGATTTAATAAGCGGTATATATGCGGCTACTGCTACCCCCCTTATGACGCTAAGGATTAATACTGTATCAGCCACCTGCTAAGATAAAATTTGGATAGTGGCCCGTACGCTAAGTTTAGGTGGCTTACCACTGTATTTATAGCGGCATTAGCCACTATAGCTTAAGTAATACCGTGCGGTCCTTTTTTAACTCACACATGGTTTACCAACATTAAATGTGCAAGACTTTTAGCCCGGACCTTCGTACAGAGGAGCGATACCGGGAAATGGCTGGCAGGGACGACCATGTACAATACTACATAGAAAACGAGCAGGCTGTTTCCCCAGATTATCTACATAGGATCGGGTTCCTCGGTTGCTTGTAAGCGCAATTATTAGCGGAAGGCGAGACATCCCGCCGAAAGCCGAGGTGTTAAGTCCCTTGTAAGCTTCAAAAGGATAACGGCGGGATGTAAACTACCTAGCTCATAGTATCTTCGCGAACTTGCAGCCATGACGTTGGCTGTTCTTTCTTCTCATAATATTCATTTCCGTTGCTTTTAAATTATACTCTAAACCCTTCTACCCTTCTTCAATTACAAGTGTCAAAATGATACTCCAAGCAGGAATGCTTGGATCGACGGCTAGAAACTCATGCCTTCGGGCGGGGACAAGAGCATTAAGAACACAGCGCCACTTCTCGGTGCAGACGGCCCGTCGGCAAGAAATTCGAGAAGCATATATTCTAAGTGCCTCTAGGACACCTACCGCAAAGGTAAGATCCTAGGAGCATATAACTATCAAAGTTACAATAACCAACAGAAAATTAGTTCAACGGCTCGTTTATCACGGTCTCTGCGCCTCAGCTCGGCGCCGTTGCTATTAAGTCAGCCCTCGAAAAGTCTACAGTTCCCGTCGAAAAGATTACAGATGTTTATATGGGAAATGTATTACAAGGTTCTATCGGACAGGCTCCCGCCAGGCAAGCCGTTATCTTTGCTGGTCTTCCTAAGTCCGTCGAGGCCGTTACTATCAACAAGGTTTGCGCCTCGGGGTTGAAGGCCGTAGTTTTTGCGGCCCAGAATATTCAACTTGGTCTAAGCGATGCACAAATAGCTGGTGGTATGGAAAATATGTCACAAGTTCCGTATTATGTCCCTCGGGCGAGTTCATTACCACCATTTGGCCACGTTAAGATGGAGGATGGCCTCATCAAGGACGGGTTGACGGACGTATACGATCAGTTTCACATGGGCATCTGCGCCGAAACGACTGCTAAGAAGTATGGCATTTCCCGGGAAGCACAAGACCTATACGCTATCCAGTCATACGAGCGAGCCCAAGCTGCGTGGAAGAACAAGGCCTTTGCGGATGAAATAGTTCCCGTGACTGTAAAAGGCCGGAAGGGTGAGACCATCATCGATACTGATGAGGGATATTTGGATATCAAATTAGAAAAGGTTCCGACGCTAAAGCCAGCTTTCATTCGCGACGGCACGGGCACCGTCACTGCAGCGAATTCGTCAACGCTGAATGATGGCGCTAGTGCCTTAGTACTAGGAAGCAGAGACATCGCCAAGGAATTCGGAGCCGGCTCTAGAGTCCTAGCGAGGATATGCGGTTCCGCCGACGCCGCAGTTGATCCCGTGGATTTCCCCATCGCACCAGCCAAAGCTGTGCCTATTGCTTTAGAACGCGCAGGTATTACAAAAGACCAGGTTGCGGTCTGGGAATTTAACGAAGCCTTCGCTGCAGTTATCAAGGCCAACGAGAAGGTGAGAACTGATATGTCACTTTAAGCCATACAATTACTAACAAAGAATAATAGATTCTTGGTCTAGAGAAAGCCAGAGTGAACCCTCTAGGTGGTGCAATCTCTCTAGGTCACGCGCTAGGAAGTTCAGGATCCCGAATCCTAACGACATTGTTACACCAACTTAAGCCAGGGGAGTATGGTGTTGCTGCTATTTGCAACGGAGGTGGTGCAGCTACCGCTATTGTTGTTCAGCGGATCGAGTCATTGAGTTTATATAGTACCATGTAGTGGTAGCAGGTGCTTAAAAGGAAAATATACCCGCCATTTCGTATAGAGCTTTGGAACGTGGCTAGTCGCCTAGAGTTGAACAGTTCTGCTGATATTTAATATCTACGAGAAATATGAGCCAATAAGTGTGGTGAATTTCAATCTCTAGCACATATACATAAGATAAACTTTTATAACTACAACTATTAATCCATTAAACGGCTGTTCTATTTAAGGATTATCACATGCATTAGTTACATTGTCGATCCTATAAATTATGTACATTTGTGTAGGACGAGTACGACATTCAGATGTGTATGTACAAAGTACCTAACATAACCCCGCGTCCGGGTGTAAGATGATGTCACATGCGACTTCGAAGCTTAGAAGGCGCGGGTCTTTGCAGGTCCCCTAAAGATTTAATTGGCCATCACTACACTAAGCGCGTTCCGTACAATACCCCCATAATTTTTTACGTGTGTTCATTGTCTCGTTACATAATTCAAAGTTCGACCTTTGGTTCAGGTTCATAGCCTCAACAATAGCGCGCAACTATCTGTCGTAAAAGTGAGACTCCAAATATTATCATCACATACGTGTCAGCTTCGATTCTTTAGTTACCAATTACCGTTCGAACTCCGAGCTCCTATCTAACCGCCCACTTCGCATCCTAAACATGATGATCATCTGAACGAGGACCCTCCCTAATTCTCATACCTCCACCACTTTCCACCATGGCCGTGACAGCCCAATTCCTCACGGGAGTCCGCGATATTCTCAAGAGTCTCAATGGAGAAGCGCTGCGCGATTGGCTGAAGGTAGAGCCACCTTTACCACAAGAATACTACAACCTTGCATCTGAGCTCAAGAGTACCTATAAAGACGACAATGCGCTCGAAAAGCTAGTCGAGCAATGCCTACCAGAAGAAGATGACGTTCCAGAAGGCCAGGGAACGACATGGCCCGGATTCCTCTCTTTTATAAAAGACTATCTTATCTACTGGAGGGACGTGGAATTTGACGACCTTCTGGGTGCTCATCAATTGCTCACGGCATTGACCAAGTATGTTAACTCGACCATTCCGATATTGCGTCGCACCCGACTAAGATGAGCAGTTCATGCGCCACGGCGCTTAACAATCCCACGTATGGAACAATAATGTTGCAGTCGAGCATATCACTTTGCGCCTCTCTATCGACCTTGTCGATGACCCTCAATAAACGACCTGATCTCACTAGGAAGCTGGCAGCTATCCACGCTGGTGACGAGGAACGGAAGTCGGTTATCGAGATCACAGCGGAGATCATGCAAAAGTTTTTTACGACGTGTCTCACGGACCGGTCGAGTCCGCGCTTCGCACAACCTACAGGCAAGAAAGTCGGCATTTACGTCTTCGCCAACAAGACTTTAAAGCTATTAACCATGGTGCGTTGAGCACGCTTGACTACGGCAAATATCATACTAAATCTTAACGATATCTTAGAATAGCAAGTCTTACCTGGCGGCGCAGCTGTTGACTAACATTATGGCAAAATCACCGCCACTTTCGTACTATCCAGCCGCTCAAAGAGTGACATTTTTGTATTTCCTTGGCCGCTTCCACTTCAACCACAATCACTTTTGGCGGGCTGCGCAATGCTTACAGGAGGCTTATTCACAAACGCCAGCACGCTTCCTAAAGCATCGCCGAATCATACTCACATACTTAATACCGGCAAATTTCGTACTAGGCCGCCTACCCTCACAGGCTCTTCTCCAGCGGCCAGAAGCGCAGTCCATGGCTCAGTGTTACTCTCAGTTTTCGTTAGCAATCCGAAAAGGCGACTATATACTCTTCCAACACACTATCAAACAGCATGAAAGCTGGTTGAGGAGTAAAGGCTTTCCTTTATATACCACACTCCAATGGCGTATTCGGCCGCTGCTCTGGCGATCGCTCTCGCGGCGAACCTTCCTGCTGACGTACACGCCTCCCGCTGAAGGCGATTCGCGCAAAGCAGCTGTATTAAAACTTGCGGATTTTAATACTACAATGAATTACGTCCAGAAACGGCTCGAGGGATATCTCCCCGCAAAACTGGCTCCGAAGGGGCGCCAGTCTAGCGTCAACAGCTACCTCCTGAAGGCTGTCTCCAACAGTGCGGGGACTGGTACGGGGAACTCTACCATCGCGCCGCCTCCCGGTGGACCTAAGCATCTAGCGCCAGATGAGGGCCTGTTATCCGGCAATATGGCTGTGGACGACCTCATCATTGAGAATATCATTGCGTCGCTAATAAGCCAAGACCTTCTACATGGGTATATAGCGCACGCTCAGGGCGCATTTGCCATCATGGGCACCAAGCAGAAGGGTAGTGCGGTGGCAGCCGGCTGGCCCACCGTCAGCGAAGTGATTGATCAGCGGTCCGTGGAGTCTGTTGTCCCGGGGTGGGTTAAGGATGAGTAGATGGTTTTGTTTCTTCACGCGAGGAAAAAGACCTAAGATTAGAAGAGGTATAAAATAGGGTTGGTTTAGGTCTGTTTCGACCAAGCCATAGCCATGCATAAGGGAGGGTGTCTCCTGGTATAGCGAAGTTACGAATGATACCCAGTATGAGTTTATTTTTCTTCGTGGATAATGGAATTGTTTATATAACGTCGAGATTGGATTAGGTTGTGTCATGATACAATTTACAAATTTACAATTTATGCAATATTCCCGGGTTTAAGTTTAAAATTAGTTAATTAAATAATCCCTTTTTATACTCATGATTACATAATTGATAAGATATTATTCAAACACACTTGCGTAACACAGTTGTACCTTTTTGTTTACACCAAGTTTTACTCAACCCTATCTTCATACCTATACGTTTAGAAATATTAGGCTTTGGCCAGTATGGCTAATGATTGCTTAATCCCACCACAACGTCAAGGTCCTACACGTACTTGCTAACACATAAAAGCATGTATTCTTCCAAGGGTGATTCTTTTCTCAGGCTTCAAACGCCATTGCTAGGATTTGCCTTCGCGTTCGCGAACTTGTAAATCTTATGGTCATCGGATTCCGAATTCCCCTGGATCTCGACGATAGGTTCGAAGTCAGCAAGTTGTCCATTGTGCTTTAGACATGGCGGTAGCCGGTCGCCGTGGTTGTTCTGAGGGTGGTAGGAAGGGTCGTTATTTAGTCGCCAGAGCAGCGATTCGTGCAGGACGGCGTCTGGCGGTATGTCGCGCGTGGAACCCGCGTTTAGCGGGAAGCGGATGTTCCGCCACTCGTTGCGATGGTGGAAGAGTTCCCAGCGCGTGATGAGTGGGAGCCATTCTATCGAGGTTGGCAGGTTAGCGTTGACAGGGTAGGAGGGTGGAAATAGACGGGCTTACCCATGAACTTCCAGAGCAAAACGGTGGCGAATCCTGAGCCGTAGCCGTATGAGAGGGAGTCGTGCATGAATCCCTTCAACGCCTGCTCCTTTCTCTTCTCGTACCGTCGCTTGAACCCGTTGAGGTTCTTGCACCACTTGACTGCCCCCGACGGATCCATCTGGCCGACCAGCTCGACCTCGCGGATCATCCAAGCGAGCGGTACGTCGCTCATCTGGAAGGGGTCGGATCCAATATCCATAGTAGGATCCTTGGACTTGCGCGTCGTCCAGAAATTCTTGACGCGCTGCCAGATAGTCATCTGCTTGCCGGTATCAAGCGGGTGCTCGGCCGACGCCGGCCACCCGCCGCCCACGTCCCCGTGGCAGCCCGGGAACCAGACCTCCTTGATGTCCTCGTGGTCCTTGGTCGAGGTCCGGATGTCCTGGGCCAGGAGCGCGGCTTTGAACTTGACGCGGCGCTCGTCGACGGCCACGGCGTGCCGCACGAAGTGCGCTGTTCCCTTGACGGGGACCGGCATGGGGGCTTTGCGCTCGAGGATCGCGACTGAGTTCACGCAGTCCCAGATCCCGAGGAAGTATACCTTGATGTTGTGTTCTTTGATCTTCCCGTTTTCGCGTGTGACTTTTTCTTTGCGGCAGAATGTGTTGCTGAAGGCGGTGATTTCGTCCTTGGCCCGCTTGTACTTGTGACCGTGGTATTTGTCGTTGTCGTTGTCGTTGTTCTCGTTCTGATTGTCATGGCCATTTTGTTCGTCGTGGCCGTTTTGCTCCTCGTAGTGTTCCCCATTCTGCTCGTTTAGTACCGGTTGTGTCTCGGTTAGTCCTGTATCAACTTTCACAGCCTGTTTCTTGCCTTTCTTAGAGCTTGCGAGTTTGAAATTGTCGGTCTCGCCTGCTAAGTAACGCTGGTAGAGTCGGTATGCAAAGGTCACCATTTCCTCGTTACCCTTGCAGAGTAGTCCTACGGTGTTAATCATACGTGCTAGGAATTTGGCCGTGAAAGCACCTCGACTAAATCCAAACATGTAGATCTTGTCCCCCTTCAAGTATTATAGGTAAGTCATAATGATCGATTACGTAGCCTCAGAAAGATCGCTTACAGGGTCATAGTATCGCATCAAGAATCTGTACCCAGCCATGACATGGGCGTCAAACGTCGTGCCGATAGCTTGGTCGATGGTCTGCGAGATGGAGCTTTGCAACTCACCGAGCCAAGTCTTATTGACAGACGTCTCGTTGATATCATACGTACCGATTCCGGCTAGTCGACTAATAAGAAACGAGATATGGAGAGGAGGAAAGGCACTTACTCTGGTAATAATGGTATTGCTGAGGGTCATTGCGATCTAGCTTATGCAAGATCTTGACTACGTTGGTATCAGAATTGGATCCGGTGTAAGTGTTCCCGGTGCCATCGAAACAGAGGATAAGTTTCTTAGGCTCTCGAGCTTGTCCAGGATTCTCACTAGTAGGCGTACTACTACCTTGGTCCTGGAGGGAAGACATAATAGCAACAAAATTCAGCTAGATACGCCCTAAGAGGTGAAAGGTTGTTTGCAAGTCTGAAGCCAGAACTCAGAATGGTTGGGTAGGGTCCTTTCGCTTCCACCTACGGGCTCGCAAGCTTCAATTTATCATGTCTCCCATATGCAACCGCCCGGATATCACACAATTCCCCCCATTAAAATTCCTATCATTGTCGTTATCCGCCCGAAAAGCATGAGGCGAGCTGACTGTGGTTCTCTTGGTCACTCCACCTCTGTCCCGTCCCACCTATTGCTTTTGCTACCCGTGCCAAGACATTCATCTCCCTTAGATCGAAGCTGATGTTTAGATTAGGGATACACGAATTCATACTGTCGAAGCACAGCGTCAAACCGGCGTCCGGGTTATGATGGCTGGTTTTGCAAATCCCGTGTGATACCTAATCGTCATTCCCCCGCTCCCCGTACAACCTCATCACCATCCCTCGATCTTCTGCCACCGGCGTAGAGCGAGTTGTCATAAACTGCGTGCTTCGGGTAGGTATGCATAGCCAACTAGGCAGTCTTTTCAGCTATTTCGAAACAAGCCACCCTTCCGAACAAGACGGCATGCATGGATACATGCATTTATAGGACGCTGTGAAACAACGGTATGGTGATCGGGTGGTATACCCATAAGCCAATATATGGGGTTAGCATAGTCGACCAATAATATACAACATGATTACTTCGTCGTATCCGGTTTGGTATTGGTATCTGGGCCCTATCATTTCCATTCTTGTAGTCGGAGACAGCTTACATACATCAATTAATCTAGATCACCGCTCCTAGCGATATGATTCTCACCACTATCGTTTGATGGTGGCGCCTATTGCGTGGACATCGGATATCGTGGTGCTTAGGTGTCCGGGTAGACAACCTGGGCAACTCAGTGGCCTACCCGCCAAGCTCCTCAGTATGAGCGCGTGGCGTAGCTGGAACTGGGTCCCGTTCGTATATATGAGGTGCAGAAAGACGGTGCGGAGAAGTGTCTGGTCTGAATTCTTGTGCCCGTAAGCTCTGGTTCAATTTTTTTTTACTGAGAAATCCGTATTATAGATTTGATCATGCCTTCTAACGAGAAGTTCCAAGCTGGAGAGTCTTACGGAGATGGAGAAAAAGACCCTACAAACTACTTCGCTGATCCTACGAAGATTGCGAGAGATATCTTGGCAGACGGTGTCGGCCTTGCGGGCAAGGTCTCTATCAAAGAGATTGTAGGCCTCATCGAGGAGTTAATACAGGTTGGGCAGCCACTCGATGACAAGAAAGGGTATTGTTAACCCCACAAAGCCTCATACGAATATATCTAATGTGCAATAGCAACACCGAGCTCTTGATTGGCATTTTGACCTCTCTCCCTTCCACGTCAAATGCTAGAGTCCAGCTTACCAACAAGCTCATTGACACCCTTTGGGGTAATCTTCAGCATCCACCACTGAGCTATCTCGGAGGTGATGTTAGGTATGAGGTTGTTGGCTCTTCGGAGTCATCCAGCTCGCAAAATGCAGCACCTAAGCTCGGCGATGCGATCGAGTTTAAGGCACCAGACAGCGATGTCATACTACGGGAGCAGATTCCGCTTGCCCCTGATGGCCTCCACCATTATCGGACACCTGATGGGAGTTACAACAACCCTATACAGCCAAACCTAGGCAGAGCAGGCGCTCCTTATGCCAAGTCGGTGAGAAACACGAAGCGTCTTGCCGGCGTCAGGCCCGACCCGGGTCTACTCTTTGACCTTTTGATGGCACGAGATGATGAACACTTCAAAGAGAACCCGGCCGGTATCTCAGCCATGTTCTATTACCACGCAACTATCATTATCCATGACATCTTCCGAACAAGCCGTACAGATATGAATATATCGGATACCTCGTCGTATCTCGATCTGGCACCCCTTTATGGCTCTTCCCTCAAGGATCAATTAGAGATCCGTACCATGAAGGAGGGTAAACTGAAGCCTGATACCTTCCACGAGAAGCGGCTGCTTGGTCAGCCTGCGGGTGTTAACGTCATGCTGGTCCTCTACAGCCGCTTCCACAATTATGTCGCAGATATTCTACTGAAGATCAACGAAAATGGCCGCTTCACGCTGGAGTGCGGGCCTGATTCTAGCCCAGAAGACAAGGCCCGTGCTATTGCTAAGCAAGATCATGACCTCTTCAACACAGCCCGTTTGATCACTGGTGGGCTGTATATCAATATAAGTTTGCATGACTACCTAAGAGCTATTACAAATACGCACCACTCCAACAGCGACTGGACCCTAGATCCGCGCGTCCAAATTGACAAGCAATTTGACGGCGAGGGCACACCGCGCGGCGTCGGCAACCAAGTCAGCGCCGAATTCAACCTGCTATACAGGTTCCATTCGTGCATTTCTAAGAAAGACGAGCGTTGGATAAACGGCTTCTTCCTAAAGCTCTTCCCAGGCCGTGAAGCGAGTGACCTAGAGAACGTCAGCTGGACGGAGCTCGGCCAGGCTTTGCTTACCTTTGAGAATAATACCCCTAAAGACCCTAGTGTTCGTACCTTCGACGGCCTAGAGCGTCAAGCAGACGGTACGTTTAAGGACGAGGATCTCGTGCGAATCCTCAAGGAGGCCATGGACGATCCCGCTGGCGTCTTTGGCGCACGCACGATCCCAAAGGCCCTCAAGGTCGTCGAAGTCCTAGGAATTATTCAAGGCCGCAAGTGGCAAGTTGCATCTCTAAACGAGTTCCGCGAATTCTTCGGGCTGAAGAAGTGGGATAAGTTCACCGACATCAACTCTGACCCGGACATCGCCAATCTCCTGGAGAAGCTGTACGCGGACCCCGACATGGTCGAGCTCTATCCGGGACTCATGATCGAAGATATCAAACCTGTCCGGAACACGGGCTGCGGTATCCAGCCGACGTATTCACTAGGCCGCGCTGTGCTGTCCGACGCAGTCACCCTTGTGCGCTCGGATAGGTTCAATACGCTTGACTATAACGTCTCCAACCTAACAAGCTGGGGATACAACGAAGTACAGCCAGATTCTAAGACCTTAGGAGGGTCTATGGCATGTAAGTACTTTCTTGAGCTCAATTCCTTTGCTTCATGTTCTACCTCAGGGGCAAGTCGGACTCAATTAGGAGTTACCATTCTTAAGATATACCTTACCTTTTAGATATCTCTCTTGAAGAAGTAACTAATCATCAATGCTATAGACAAACTAATCCAGCGAGGTCTTCCTGGTTGGTTCCCTTACAACTCAGTAGCCGTCATGCAACCCTTCTACACGAAGAAGGCCAACACGGCAATTGCCAAAGAACTTGGCACTCTCGACCAATACACTGATAAAGATCCACAGCCGCCGAGGAAGCCTGTGGTACTATTCACCAGCTCGGCTATCAAGCAAGTTCTCGACAAACATACAGAGTTCCTCATCCCCTGGGCCTCTCCCCTTAACGATATTTTTACGGGTAAGAATAAGAAGGACGTCAGTTGGTACATGTTAGCCGGCGACGGCCCAGAAAACATAGCCAACCGCACAAATGTGCTCAAGGCGATGAGTAAAGTCCCAGATATCACCGGTGCTATCCAGAGGTTCGTCGAGAGCGAAGGATCGAAGCTCATCCAGAAGGAGACGTTTCAGCTCAAGAAGGGCCTCAACCAGATCGATCTGATCCGCGACGTCGCCATCCCGCTCAACGCTCAGCTACTCGCTGACCTGTTCTACTTTGACCTCAAGACCGACGAGAACCCGCAGGGCTCACTTGGTGCCGCGGAGCTGTATGGACACCTCCTGGATATCCGTATCTGGGGCGTCAATAACAACGATCCCGGACAGGCTTGGAACCGCCGTCGCAAGGCGCAGGAGAGTGCTAAGATCATTATTGATACCACTAGGAAGATTGTCGATGAAGTCGCTCTTACGCGCGGCGTGATTGGCTCGGTGGTCACGGGCACGGTAGGACGAAAGGCCACTCTTAAGCGTGGCTCCCTGCGCTCTTGTGGTCACGAGCTTGTCGAACAGCTCTTGAAGCACGATAATCCCGAGAGAGTGACTGACATACTATGGCTTACTTCCTTTGGTGGAATCGGAGTTGTTGTCACGGCGGTAAGTTGCCTACAGCCAGCCACCCTCCCCAACACGTAGGTATTGCCTACGCCCGCTAATATATTCCCCCTGATTACAGTTCTACGATATCATGGAGTTCTTCCTGCGCAAGGAGAACGCGTCCATCTGGGCGGAGATCCAGGCCCTTGCGCAGAAGAACGACATCGATACTATTCGCGCCTACGTCCTCGAAGCTCAGCGCCTCACGAGCACACAGCGCACCATGCGCGTCGCGACGAAGCCGGACGAGCTCGAGGGAAAGCAGATCCAGCCGGGTAACTTTGTCGTATTGCTGCTCGTAAGTTGTCTACCCCTAACATCATCTACCCCCCCCACCCCCCCTTTTCTTTCCTCTTCTATCTCTCCCATCTCCATCTCCCTATATTTTATTTACCCTTACGCCAAAACCAAGCCAAAAAACTAACCACCTCACCACCACCGCCCAGGGAGAAGCCGGCCGCAATCCCTCCGACGTCCCCAACGCAGACAAATTCGACCCGAAGCGCGAGAGCGGCCCCGTGTCGCCGTACAGCTACGGGCAGCACGAGTGCGTGCTGAAGCACCTCATCCCGACCTTCCTCGCGGGCTTGGTCAAGCTCACGGCTGACCTGAAGCAACTACGTCCCGCGCCGGGCCAGATGGGCCAGGTCAAGACGATCCAAGTCGGCACCGATAAGGCGTATCTGAATGATAGCTGGTCGTACCTCGCCTTCGACGCTAGTAGTACGTTTTCTCCGTCTCCTATTCTTACCCCTCCCTTTGCTAACACCCCAACAGCATGGAAGGTCCACTTCGACGGCCACGGACAGGGCGGCTTCGAGGGCGAGAGGCAGCCTACTGCGGCGATGGAGCTGCAGGAGTATTACCACCGGATCCAGAAGGCTAAGGATAAGTTGTTGGGTTAAGCACCTGGCCTACCCCAGGTAGGTACTAGGTGAGGAAGCTTATACTCGAATAGCTTAAAATTGTTAGGAAATCGGGTTGGAGAATGGAGACAAAACCTACGATATGAAAAAAATGAAATTAGTAAGTCTTCGTTAATAAAAGGTGTGTTGCAAAAACTACGCTGCAGTATTTACGCCTTATATTGTGACAAGATGTGACTCTGGTATAACTTGTAATTTGTCGTCGTAGAATCCTGTTAGTTCGACGTTGGAATTGTTTTCAGTTTATAATCATATATCATATAAATAATACCATATTTGCTCTTCATACTCATTCAATTGCAAATCCAACTTCGAAAAGTCACCATACATCGTCGCTCATCAAATAATATTTGGTATCATATAAACTAATCCTCTTCCCCCCAACATCAATATCTCACATACTCAATATCATCGTAGCCCCTAAGCCTTGGAATCCCCCGCCGCAGCAGCACCGCCCACAGCCCCAGCGGTCCCAGCACCAGCGCCAGCAGCCAGAGTCGATTTCTTGACTAGCTTCAGGCCCGCGAGGGCATACACGAGGCCTTCGACGCTGAGAATTACGACAAGCGTAACCAAAGCGCCGATGACGCCGGCAACGGGGAGCGAAATGCCGTTACTGGACGTAGTAGCTGCCGCGCCATCGCCGCTATCGCTACCAGAATCACCTGACGAAGACGCCGCTGCGCTCGCACAGATACCCGTCGTATTTCCACAGGCTTGGCACCACGCGGCCGTATCCCCAATGGCAAACTTGTTGATCTCGGCTGCGAAATCGTTCCACGGGAGCGGGGACTGTCCCCGCCCAAATAGCGGGAACTCGCGGGGCGTGTGCTGGGCCGCGGACCCGTTCGCCACTAGGAAGCGGACGGAGACGTCGTCGACGCTGGGGTACGAAGTGGTGGTGGTCGCGCTGGCGTTGGTGACGAGCTCGAAGACGATGGACGACGCGTAGTCTACTACGCCGGTGAAGTCGGCGGATAGCTTGTCGAGCTGTGCGAGCCCGAAGAAGGACATGAAGGATGCGTAGGCGCCGAATTGGATGCCGACGGGGGTCTGGCCGTGGCTGGTCAGCGTGGAGTTGAGCTGCTGCAGGATCTGCGCGGCAAGCGTGGCGCCGGCAACAGCACGGATCGGGTCGCTGCTGTTGTACGCCAGGTTCCACTCGTGAGCGTCGGCGAGAGTCCTAAGCTCGAACAGAGTGTCGTTCGTAAGCAGGTTGTCAGACGGGATGGTCTGGTTGTGGATGGTAGCCACGTTAATCAGGTCGAAGATGGTATACGCGTTTTTGAAGTTGGCCTGGCTGGCGCTGAAGGTGCCGTTGATAACGGGTAGAAGACCGCTGTAGAAGGACCGGGTGCGGTCTAGCGTGCTGACGAACTCGTTGGACTGCAAGTAGTTGTTGGAGCTCACCACGGCGTTGGCGCAGCCGGAACCGCCCTGCAGCCACTCGTTGTTCTCCGAGTTGGCGTTCGAGGAGGCGGTCGACGATACGCCGACAGGGATGTACTGGTACCCGCCGAGCGGAGCCTGGACCTCGGACTTGTTGGCCAGTATGGACACGCCGTTGTCGCCGGCGGGTGGGTAGATGCCCTGGAGGAAAGCCAAGGCGGAGCTCTGAAGCACGGAGTCCGCGGGAGAGATGACGCTTAGCTGCGTGGGCACAGCGATGTCGTTGCTCAAGCCGACGATAGGCGAGCTGGCGTCGGACGCGACGTATTTGCTGCGGTAGTAGCTGCCAGACTGGAAGACCTGGTCGGCGCCCAACGCAGTCAAGTTCGTCGGCGCGAGACTTTTAGGAGTCCGATCCCCGTGGCGATGGAAGATGTAAACGCCGAGGACGGTCTCGCCCCTTGCGAGCGGCAGAGCTGCCGACGAGAGCAAAAGCGTCTTTAACTGCATAGCGAACCCGTGCTATCATCCACTCACTGTCCTTACAACATATATTCCCTAATCCCTAATAGATTGATAGTTGGGACTTCAAGCGCACCAAACTAGGGACATAGGAGAGTAGCAATCCGACGAGCTTCGAAGAAGAGAAGAAAAACTCGTGGGAAGAGTCACATTGGAGGAGTATTTGAAGTATTTGAAGTATCCTCCAAACAGCGCGCAGCCCCGCTCCTCGCAGGGTTGCAGCAGATGCAGCAGATGCAGCGTATAGACTTAACGTTAACCCGGATAGCGAACAAATCGCTAGCGACAGCCGCGTGCGGGACGGCTGGTCGGCGCATTTCCAATATTCCAATATCTAATAGGGCGAACCTCGACCGACCTGCCTAGTCCGGACATCAGCCCAGTTTAGAGTCTGGAAAACCTTGCCAACGCTCGCCGGGAGGGTGCCAAGAGCGGATCTATCACCGTCGGATTGGCCAATCATAGTTAGAGAGGGTGAATTTCTTGCATATCTCGCATCTCCGCTGTAGGTCCGGGAGGGTCCGAAAACCCCACTTGCTTCCGGGCCTTACTAACCTGCTAACATGTTTGAGCTTATAAAATCTGAGAGATCGCTAGATCGGAGGCGAAGTGGGTTGTTGCTGAAATGGAAAGGTGAAAGTGATAGGTACTAACCAGGTAGAAATACGATTTTGGATTAAGATTTGTGAAGGAAATATGATAACTATGATAAGCTATAAATCTTGCTCTTTAAGGGAGCTAAATCTATCTGATGCCGTTAGACTAGTTTTAAAGCATGTGATGACAATGCAGGTTTATAGACTTGAAGAAAAGTACTATTAATAAAGTCGGAAAGGAACCCCAAGAAGAATTAATAGATGATATGTTTCTACATAATTACCTGCTACCGTAGCTTATAATATAATCACATCATATAATGTGCTGGGATATGAAATAATATTCTGGAAAGCGCAATTAATAAATTTGCAAACAGAACATTATAAGAACTCCCCAAGGCTATATACTATAGTTATCATAATGAGAAAAAGGGGCAAGAAACAAGTTTCAGTCCTTCTTACTACCTAGGAACTTCATTTTCAAACCCTTTACATGAGAATTACTAAAGCTAGATACAAATCTTAGGATGGCATCACTGTTAACTCGTGCCTTGATCACGTCCTATACAATGGGAACATGTAAAACAGATACTCAACATATTAAAATGGTCATTAATCCAAGAGGAGTGACAATGTAAACAAACCAATGCTTTCCACCCCAACCTAACCACCTACACCCACCCACCCATCTATCTACCCAAGTATACACTACACCACTCCCCCTCCAAACTCCACATTCCATAACATTATCCACCGCAATAAATCCGTATTATCCCAGCAACACCTCCCTACCTACAACCCTCCACCCATCCTCGCCCTTACCCGCACCTCCTCCCCACTCATCAACGCTTAGCAATCCCACAAGTCTCCAGACACTGCTCCACCCCCAGCGCAACACCAGCGCTAATAATCCCGCGGAACTTATCGACGTCGGCGCCCTCGATGTGGTTACCGGCCGCGGCGCGGATCGTCTCGTCCCCTAGGGCCAGGTATGCCTGGGCGATGGTGTTGGCGCCGAAGTCGTCGCTCGACAGGGGCGCGATGAACGTTGCGTCGTCGCAGGTGGGGTTGAATTGCGTGTGCAGGGCGCCCGTGTAGTAGGGGGTCGCTTCTAGGAACGGGAGTTTAGTTAGTTAGTTAGCGCGACCGTCCGTCTTTTTAAACTCTTCGGTCTTAGGAAAAGGGGGATGGGATAGGTTGTGGGAGGTGAGGTATAGTATAAGTTAAGTACGTACGCAATTCTTCGATGGTGTTCATGATATCGCGGGGCTTCTTGTCCGCGTTCTCGACGCCGTTCTCGACGACCATCTCCGACGCGACTTTGCCCTTGACCACGACGAGGAGCTCCGCGGCGCGGTTGTGCACGTGCGGGGTGTTGAAGCCGCACGGGCCGAGGAAGCCGACGGCCATGCCGATGCCGGTGCCGGTTAGAGCTGGGAAGGCCTTGCGCGTGGCTAGGACTACCTCGCCGCCCTGGCCCGGGCCGAACTTGCGCGCTCTGTTGAAGTCGAACACGAAGTCGGAGTCGTCTTTGAGGATGTTGTTGACGGCGTCGGCGCGAGTGTCCGAAAGTAGGATCTGCTGGACTTTGCTTAGGCCCGTCGGCGCGGCGGTGGGACTTTCGGTATTGGCTGTGGGTGCTGGGATATCGCCCGTGGCGGATGCAACGGCTTCCTCTGCCGTGGAGCTAGTTTGGAAATAGCTCAACGAGACGTGGTAGTGCGAGCTAGAAGAAGCCTCGTGAGGGGCCCAGCCAGTTGCAGTTCCGTGGATGCTCGGGGTCGTGTGAGAACCCGAGTCTGTCTTGGCCCAGCGCGATTCATCGCGCCTGTTGGCCGGTGCGGCTGAAGCAATGGAGCAAAAAGCCAAGATGGCTGCGATAGTACCGGTCTTGAACATTATGATGATATTAGGGGTAATTAAGACGACTTGGTAGTTGAGAGAAGATTGGTCTTAGAGGATAGCCGTGCCGGTATCTATCTATTAAGCAGGATAGGAATAGAGGTAAGGAAATAAGAAAAAACAGAATAAGAGGAAACGGAAAGCTTTAAGTTGGCTTTATAGCTAATGGCGATGATAAGAAAAGACTTCCATCGTGAAAATTTGCTCAAGTCTTTATATCCGTCTCCTTTCAAAGTCACGACGAGTAAACCTCGAGCGAGTAAACCAATACCATCACTCGCGTAGGTATTATTAGACTTTAGCAGATGCCAGCCGCTCCCTTCTGGAAGCTGGACGTCCCGGCAGGCGGAGCAAGACCGGCTTGCCAAGTTCCCGGGCCCGGGTCGACGGTAATAAGCTACCGGGAAAGCACATGATTGGACGCGGCGGGAGGCGTAGCAGTAGCGGAAAAAAAAAAAAAAAAAAGACAAAAATATCAACGGCGCTAGCAAATGTTAGTAATACACGTGTGTATGTAGGTAGGGCTGGGTAATGACGTCTATGTAATAAACCAATCGTAGATGAAATGTGCTTTGCGATTTGGTGCTTACATACTTCAGACGTGTGTTGGCTTGGCGCGCGCGCTCTCGGACTTTGAAGATACGACGAGATAGCCGTATCGATCGAAGAGAGGTGGATAACTAGAAACACTACGGCTTTTATTTTTGGTTTAAGACTAGGTGTATCTTGGAGAAGATCCTAACTGATGATAGTACATTTTTAAAGGTCTTATTTTAACTCTTGTTTTCTTGTTTCTTTTGATATTAGGTTTTACGAGTCCGTATAGTTAACTAAGAGAATAGAACGAGGTTTACGAATTTTAAAGGTATAAGAAATTTTAAGCATATGTTAGTTGGCTGAAGTAAACCACGTGGTATAAAGCTCGCCCCTAGATCAATTAATATAATTGATCTCTGGTAATTGGTAAAGCTTTAATCATTATGTGATTACAGCTGATCTAGGTTGATAAGAACTCAATTAAGAGAAGTAGTTTAGCTTCTCAAAGTCTACCTAAACCTTAGTAAGTACCTCTTATTTCCGGTGAAAGATTGCATTTTTTAGCATTAAACGAGAAACAACTTTGACTTTGAATTAGTTATAGTTAATCTAATCAACTTGTTAGTTCACCCATCTATAGCTGTATAGAAGTGAATCTCATCAGTTGAGGTTGATTTAACTAGACGCATCTTTACGATACCGCTCTTTTGTATGAATACGAGGTCCCAGCGCCTCATTAAGCCCTAAACTGGAGATCAGCACTGACAATTATACAGCTCCATAACGCTAACCTTTTGGAAGATAACGTTTGATTGCCTTCCCACCGAAAATTGCACGTGCTCGAGATCTCACTGCGGTTCTTTCAGATCTTGTCACAAATATGTGTCAGCCCTTACCTGTGCTTGCGAGAGCTGGTAGCGAGCTTACTTCTTTGCGGTTAGCGGAGTCGAACAACACCATGGTTCCGAGTATTGATGAGCCCAGCAATAATTGTAGTATGCATATGTTGAATGCCCTCGGTGGTCGATTATTATTTAGTGCGCATTTGATGTCTTGAATAGGTCGTGGAAGGGAAATGCAATGTGGGATGAATGTTGAAGGTGAGAACGTTGTAAGTACTATTCCGTACAAGGTAGATTATATATTTAGTCGAGGGATTGAAATCCTACCGGAGGATAATACTCAATTTTGGTTGAGGTGATTGAATCTTCACGTGAGACCCATGCCGTAGCTGTATGTACTATGTAGTGTATGTTTCTTGCATGTTTCCTGCATGGATTCGCGTTAGACTTCAAGTTAGCTACCAGGTATATACCTACATATTGCAGTGTAACGGTGTAGTAAGCCGCATGCGGCATGCCAGTTCTTTTATTCCGCCAAATCCTAGGGAGGATGTCGAGAAGTAATTTACGCAAGTAGTCCAACGCACCTTGCAGCGTTGCAATATGAAGATACTGGGTAGCATCTTTACGCCTTAACGCCTACTCTTTGATTTGGGCCATACAGCCAGCTCCTAGATCACATCAAGACGCGTGCGCTACGCGCGAGGTTGCATCTAGAAGAAAGAAATTCAATGTTGGCATTCTACATTCTACGTGGACTCGCACTTCGAAGAACACGTAGGGATAAGTTTGGGTTTCCTTAGGCCCTAGTCAGGAGTTGTTGATCTATTGCAGAAAACGGCCCATGTAGTTGCGACTAGGTAGTATCAGCATCGTTCGTTGGTATATTGGCACCATGTCCATATTAGTGTATTTCATCGTCTTAATGGTTACCTAGTTATATCGCTAGATATTGCACCGTGGACGCCTTCGAATTTCTGGCGACTTACCTATGTCGATCAAATCGCGCACCGTCTTTTCGCGTTGGTTCCTGCATTAGTGTACAGCCCGTCGGAGTGAGGGTATTGGTAGAATATGATAGGTGATCTTGGGGAAAAATTGAAAAGAATGGGAAATTCGACAGAGCGTTCCGGTAGTTGCACGCTCTCCACTCGTCCAGATTTGGGAAGTGGATCCGTACCTGCATTTAGTTCATTTATCCTAGTGACCTGTCATTGGCTAGCCTTTCAAGAAATTTCAATAAGCTCGGGGGTACCGGCCAATGATAGCGATGGTATATTGCGCTAACTCGCTAGAGGTGCTCACTAGGAAAGCCCCTAGGTACGCTAGAGTTGAGCCCTGCTTTAACCTGCCCAATGCGCCCCGTCTCCTGTTTTCCTCTCTCTCTTACACCCCCGTCCGCCCCGTTTGCCGTCTCCGCTGTCTCTCCTTCTCCTTTGCTGGAGTCGTCGTTTCTCCGTCTTTTCGTGCATCGCGGCCCAAGTCACTCCTTATTTGGCTTCCTCTTCGCTCGCTCTCTCTTTTCCTTGTTTATTGTCAGTCACTATCGTGGAGATTCGTCTCCCTGTCACTCTTTTGAAGTAAATACAAACGTTCGTTCAAGGACTTACGAAGTCCTATCAATCGCAAAACCCAGTTTTGTTGCGCATCTCACGACTATGCTTAAGGACCTACCGATCGATCGTCGTCTTAATAATTGTTGATCTCGTTGATCAGTTGCTGCGCTAGTAGAGGGGCGTCTACCTTTAGCTTCACTAATTTAGAGCATATACTCTCTTGACACGAAAATAATTACTGGGAATCATGAAGATCACAACGATACAAGCCGCCGTTGGGTCGGCAGTACTCTTCTTGAATGCTCAGCAATGCGCTGCCACCGCTCAGCATCGCCATCACCATCTGCATCTGGAGAAGAAGCATGGTCACAGTCACATCCCTAGCCGTGTTGGCATTCAAAATGCCTACAACCCAAAGTACAGCGAGCGAAACAGTTCCGCGCTCGTGTCGCGAGATGGCAAGAAGAAGTGCCAATTCCCAGAAGATAAGGGTCTATTTGCTGTCACTCCGTCTGAGATGAACGGCGGCTGGGCCCTGGCCCCCGATCAAGAGTGCGTCTCGGGCACTTGGTGCCCTATCGCTTGCCCTCCTGGTAAAGTCATGGCGCAATGGAAACCGGGCACACATTACACCTTTCCCGAATCAACTGTGAGTATTTGTCCCCCTACGGTCTCGTTGTGAAAAGTAGCTGACTGGTCGTAGTATGGTGGTGTTTATTGCAACGATGATGGTGAAATTGAGGTTCCCTTTAAGAATAAGGATTGGTGTGTTGACGGTACTGGTACGGTGGAGGCTGTGAACAAAGCCGGAAAGGTCGTTTCCTTCTGCCAGACTTGCCTCCCGGGCTACGAAGATATGATCATTCCTACCGATGTCTTTGACACCGCTACTCTAGCTGTTCCGGACCTGTCTTATTGGGACTCGACCGCAGCTCAGTAAGTATTGCCTCGATTGAGTTGATATTCTTAGCTAACATACATAGTTACTATATCAATGCCCCCGGTGTCAGCGCCGATGAAGGATGCCATTGGGGTGACGAATCGAAACCCATTGGTAATTGGTCTCCGTACGTTGCCGGAGCGAATACCGTCGGAGACGGAGACACATTCGTCAAACTCGGAATAAACCCGGTGTGGCAAGACTCGGCACTTTTCGATACGAAACCAGACTTTGGTCTTAGAGTGGAATGCCCGGAAGGAGGCTGCAACGGAGCAAAATGCGAAGTTGACGGGTCCGGTGTTCGGAGCGATAACAAAGCATCTGGTGCTGGTGGCTCGGACTTCTGCGTTGTAACAGTACCCAAGGGTACCAAAGCTAACATTGTTGTTTTTAACCTGGATGGCTCGGGAGGGGATGCTGAACCATCAAGCTCTTCGCAAGCTGCGTCTTCGTCTGAGCCCACTTCTACTCAGGCTTCTAGTACATCGAGCACTTCTACATCCAGCTCTGCGCCACCGACGACGACGTCAACTTCGACTTCTTCGACTTCTTCAACATCTTCAACATCTTCGACATCTTCAACGATTAGTTCCACGTCAAGCTCTTCTTCATCGTCATCGAGTTCGTCGGTAATTAGCACATCGACAAGCAGTAGCTTCGTTACCAGCAGTTATGCGACAACTTCAAGCCAGGCAAGCAGCACAAGCGCTTCGGCGTACATAGCTGGTATTTTCCAGGAAAACGCGACATCCATCACCAGCTTTACCCGGAGTTCGCCTTCCTCGACTCCGGTTCCCATTCTCACCGATGAAGGGGAAGTTTCGGGAGATTCAAACAAGAATGAAGGCGCAGGTCAGCGACAAGGTGGTGCTGCTGTTGCAGGCCTGATTGTTGCGTTTGTGGCCGCTACCTACCTACTTTGAGGCGATTAGGCGGTTAAGCATGTTGGATACGACACGAATCTTCTTCATTTTGCCTATATATCTTGACCGGTGTCTAAAAGCTTTGGCGTTTCTGTCCCGGCTATTATGACATTGGTCATTGTTGCGGTGCGGACCCCGTATCGCTGCCGGAATTGTCGATATATCTTGCCACATCGGTACAACTATATACGCACTTATTTCCGTACATTTTACGGCTTCGGTCTTTGACTAGAGCTGGTTACATATAACGAATCATCTATTTAGTAGTGTTTATTATTTATTCCTCAACTGGTAATCTCAAGTCCCTTCTTGGATATCGTTCTTGAGCTACGTACCTTTTTACCTTCTTACTATACCCCATTTTGCGAACAACGCCTGTGATTGGCGGTTTGGAGCCTTTTTTTTTCTCCCTTGGCGGGAACGAGATCCCGGATGCGGTCCGGGAAGAAAGGGATTTAAATATCTTCTCGACGGAGGAAGCTTTGGTAGGAGGAGCGAGGTTTGGAGCCAAGAGATACACGACCAAGACGACACGCGAATCAGATTTGCAAAATTTTTTTTTTTTTTGCTTATGAAAAATATCGAGGCTTTTTCGGAGGGCGCCGCGGCAGGGGAGTCCGCGGGCAATTGGGAAATATTTTTTGCTGGGGGGTTGGGTTTAACTATATAGTCATATGTTTGGCTGATGCGGTCGAGATCTAGATCCCCCGCTTCTTGTGGATATACCTTGTCTTCTGCGGCGACGTGCCGGCAATGGCATTTGATAGCGTTGAATGAGATTCGTCGGTTGAGATGAGCTGCTGGTTCTTTGGGTAACTGATTTGACGTGACTGTTGAGTTGGACATGTGTATTATGTGAATGTTGCTAATAGATATACGATGTGTAGGTTTCTGCAATGCGCTTAAGCATGGTTTGGTCGTATTTAATAGAGGCTATTGATGCATTTATTTGAGAATAACTTCGGGCTGGTCGTAACTAAGACTTATAGAATATAACTGTTAGGAATAAAAAGGTAGTTAGAGAGAGAGGCATTTACATTTAAACTCGACTGCTAGTTTTAGTCTGACCATTAGTTAGACTCAAGACGGTGATGAGTCTTGATAAATTATCCCTTGAGAAGATAGGGGGGAAGGGGCGGGTAGTTTGGTGATTTTCTTACTGCCCGACCTTTCTCTTCTCTACCCTGACTCTATTCTTCGTAAGTATAAACTATGGTAATTTTACCGAGTCATTTTTACATTGATGATTACCTACCTGTGTACCTAGGTATGTATTCCATAAATTGGATAGATTAATTGTATTACTCGTATCAACTATATAGTATAGTATAGTCTCCTCACCCGTACATTATAAGGGCATTAGGTTAGGTATCTTGAAAGTTCCAAGGCATCTCTAATAGGGGTATAAAAGGGGCTTCTACTCCTAACTTAACAAATACCTTTCATATCAAGTACAATGTTCAGTCCTAAAGTACCTAAGGTATATTAATTCCACCCCAACCATACGAAGGCATTAACTTAATACCACTTTCGTCGCCGCGCACACACATGGGATTCCGTATGCAATCTCTCAGCACCCCGTCCGTCTATCGTAAGATACCAATAGACAGCCAAGTACTTATTTGTTAACCCCCCATCCATCCATCTCCATCATCAAAACCTCACAATAGTAACCCTCCCATTACCATCCTCACCAACAACCCACCGCTCATCCCCCGCTATCTTCCCCCGCCCCATCAGCTCCCACCACATCTCATCCGCAAACCTAACCTCCACCACCAAATCCCCATCCCCATCCCCATCCTCTTCTCTTTCCCCTCCTATCTCCCCCCTTACCCTCTTCACCTCCATCTCCCTCGACCCCATCAATATATCCTGCTCCTGCTCCTGCTCCTCCAGCATACTAATCTTCGGCAGGACAAAACTCGACAGCGCCTCCATGATAAAGCACTGCCGCGCCACGACCCTGACCCCCGCCCGCGCATCCACCGCATCGCTCACCGTCAGATACGGAAACTCTTCGTGCCGCCAGCACGGCGCCCACCCCGGCCACAGGCGTCCCTCCTCGTCGCCCGACAACAAGCGCGCATCGTTGCCCAGGATCCGCGCTAGCGAGCCCGCCCGCGGGCAGAAGCTCATGTGCACGTCGCCGTCGGCGCAGCACTCGTCGAACCACCGGGGCCCCGCGCCCGAAAACGGGACCCCCGTGCACCGCACCAGGTGGTGCCGCGGCGGCGACAGGCTGGCGTGCCGGCCCGCCAGCCACCGGTGCTCTTCCTCGTGCACGTACACGTTCGCCTCGTCGACGCGGATTTCCCTGATCGACGGCGTGTATCGCTGGCGCAAGCCCAGGAACTCGAGATCGCGGCGCGAGAACTTCTTGACGAGGGCTGGTCCCGGCGGGTTGGGAATAATAATAATCTTGTTAGTGTTAGCGCTGCTGCCTGGATCTAACGACGGGCGGCGGCGCGTTGTTGACGGGTGCGAAATATCCCACACGATAAGCTCTTCGCGCGGGTCGATCAGCCACGGCGATCTGCGGTCGGGTTGCCACGAGTACAGCGCGTAATGCGTCGCCGTGTGTGCCGAGAAGAAGCGGTCGTTGTCGTCCAGCGGTAAGTTCAGGGAAAGAATCTTCCACTCGCAGCGGAGCGCGATATCCCACTCCCCCCAGCCCTCGTTCGAACCCTCTTCCCCGCGCCGCCGGACATCAAACGCCGTCGCAAAATGCCCATACGACTTCTCCCCCGTATCAAACGAATACACCCCAATCTCCTTGCACCACTCAAACACCAGCACCCCCTCGCCAAGCCTCAGCCTGCGGACAATCTTCCCCTTCCCATCAAACGGGACGTCGAACACCCGCCTCGTCTCGAGATCATACGCGACCCAGCGCCGCGCGACCACCTCCTGGTACACCAGCAGCCCCTCGTCGACCGACCACGTGGTATCCGGGTACTGAAACGGCGCGGTATGATCGTCCCACCTCAACCAGCGCTCCCAAGGCGGAACGCCCCGGAACCCGGCCGAGCCCTCCCTCACGACGTCGATCTTCTCGACGAGCCGCGGCTTCGCGGCGCGCAGGTAGAAATACCGTCTCGCCACATCGGCAAACACGCCTGCCCAGTCCGGGTTCGCGCCTTCGTCCCCGGCGCGCATCTCGCGCGAGCGCGGAAAGTGGCGCGTCATGAAGTTGTGGGACGCCACGGCGTCCGTGAAGGCCGCGTGCCAGGCGCGGCTGACGCGGCGGGAGAGGATGATGTCCTGCGGGGCGAGGAACCGTGCTATGATGACGAAGAGGTCGAGGGGGAGGTCTGTTAGGTCTTTGGGTTTGGACGGGGTATTGATGCCGATATTGGCACCAAATCCATTACCATTGCTATTGTTATTGCCATTTCCATTTCTAATTCCATTTCCGTACTTGGTCACACCAGGATTGTTAGGCTGGGAGGTAAGATTGGTTTCCATCGTAGTGGTTATATAAGTAAAATTTGATGTACGAATCGGAGGTGTAGGAGCAATATAATGGGTCCCCCCCTCCCTCTCCCCCCCCCCCCCCCCCAGGTACGTCAGTGTCTTGATTAACTCCGAAGATCCGGCGGAGGAGGCGGGGCGTTGCGGCCGGGTACGGCTTACCGCATTTTCCGGTGCAAAGCCGACTGACTCGTACAATTTATATAAACATTACATGTAACAATCCGTACATATTTGAGTCGTAGATAGATTTTAGAATAATCATAGCATTCGTAAGTTAAATTGTAAATTGTAAGAAGTTATAATTGGATCGATTTTTTGATGAGGGCTTATGATTACCTACATGTTCGTTCACCCAGTCAACTTAAATATTCAAGAGCCCGTACGAAAACTCTCACTCTATTCCGCAATAATATGATCTCTTTAAATCGTATCTCATACTAATTCTCATGATCCTCATAAATATATCAGCAGCGCAAAGACCATAATTCATCATCTCATTGAAGCAAATAAATAAATGCTATATACAGATTGTTTGCTTGCTCATAACCCCCCAAACCCGTGCACCCACCCATTAGCTATGCGTAGGCATAGCAACATCCGCCTTCCTAGAAATAACATCCGCGCTCGACCACAGCGCCGTGACCGTCTTCTGTTGCGTGTAAAAGTTAACTCCAGGTCGTCCGTAGAATGTATTCGCACCACCCCCTGCAACACTCTTCTTGTTTCCGGTAAACGAGAACATAGGCAGGGGCACCGGGATCGGGACGTTGATGCCGACCTGGCCGGCTTCGATGTTACGCCGGAACGTCTCGGCCGTCGCGCCTGAGCGTGTGAAGATAGCCGTACCGTTGCCGTACTCGTTCTGGTTGATCAGGTCGATCGCCTCGTCCAGCGTGTCTACATTTAGGCAAACCAACACAGGGCCGAAGATCTCTTCCTTGTAGCACTTCATGTCTTTGGTAACATTTGTGATGATGGTGGGACCGACCCAGTTGCCGTTCGGGTACTTCTCCGGCTTGAAGCCTCGCCCGTCTAAGAGGATCGTAGCACCCTCCTCTTCGGCGCTGGCGATAAGGCTCTCGATTCTTGCCTTGCTCTGCGGCGTGATGACGGGGCCCAGGTCGGCACCCTCTTCAAAGCCGCCGTTAACTTGGAGTTTCTTGGCACTTTCCGCTAGTTCGGTTAGCCACTCCTTCGTCTCGCCCACCATAACTAGCGTGCTGAGAGCCATGCACCGCTGACCGGCAGCACCGAAGGCAGCTCCCACGATGGCGTTGAGGAACTGATTCTTGTTGCAGTCTGGCATGACGGCGGCGTGGTTCTTGGCGCCTAGGTTGGCCTGCACTCTCTTGCCATTGGCGGATCCCCTGCTGAAGATGTACTCGCCGGCCTTGTTTCCGCCGACAAAGCTGATCGCCTTGATCTCCGGAGCGTCTAGGAGAAAGTTCACGGTATCGTGAGCTCCGTGGACTACGTTAACCACGCCCTCGGGGAAACCGGCTTCCTTCGCTAACTCCACCAAGATCATGGCCGCTCCGGGATCTCTCTCGGAAGGCTTTAGGACCACGGTGTTGCCGGTTACCGTCGCAATCGGGATACACCATAAGGGGATCATAGCAGGGAAGTCTGTTAATCGGTGCTGTTAGCAAACCCTATCCATGTGATATTAATTATTAATTCAATATTATATTGGCACGTACTGAAAGGGCAAATGGCAGCAACAACACCTAACGGCTCCCTGTAAGATCTCGTCTCCATATCCTTGGCAACCTCAAGCACCTCGCCCTTGAGATATTCTGGGGCACCGCACGCAGCCTCCGCCACCTGAAGACCACGCAGGACGTCGCCCCTAGCATCTGCAAATGTCTTTCCTTGCTCGAGGGTAATGCTCGCAGCAAGACGGTCCCAGTTCTCGCGGATCAAGCTGACATACTTGAACATGATCTGCTGGCGAGCAAGCACGCTCTTAGCCCTCCATTCGGGGAACGCACGCTGGGCACTATCCACAGCAGCCTGGAGCTCTGCATTCGTGAGTTGCGGGACACGAGTGACGAGGTTATTCGTAGCCGGGTCGTGCAACTCGATGAACTTGTCCGTCTGGCTGGGTCGGAACTCGTTATCTACAAAATAGGGCGTATCCGCCGGCTTCTCTATCTTCTCGTGTGTCGTAGGGTAGCTCGTAGCCGTCGAGGCCAATGCGCTCATGGGGCGGAGCTGCTTAGCCATGACGGCTAGACGAGAGGAGGTCGCGGCTCTTGACGACATTCTAAGGGTGGCGGGGGATGATGATAGAGAAGAGGAGAATCGACGAGTAGCAATGCGTCCGGCGCTGGTAACAATGCCTCGAGTGCGTATGAGACGGTGCATGTTGAAGACAAGATCAACTAACTCTTAGCAATAAAAAGAAAAAAGCAAGACCCCTTTTCTACATAAGCCCTTGGGCATAAGAATTAGCCATTGGCATCAATGCATTAGGTACGTTTCGTTCCCCGGAAGGGGCAACGCTCGGGATGGGGTACATATGTTATTTGAGTTATATGGTAAGAGATGGTTGTACCCAGCTACTACTTAGGTTAGGTACAGGTAGGCAGTAGGTATTATCGGTGTGGGGTATTGCCGTCGGCATGGGGTAACGCTATCGGGATCGTCATAAACCCGAGGCTGTACTGGCTTATTATTCCCATAAAAGGTTCAATTGGGCAAGAGGGGTAACTAGCAGGTAGGTGCCTCTCTATCTTGGCCCGTCTCTTACCGCTAAGCCGAACCCCCGAGCACCGGACGTATACTGCCTGTATATCATCTCCGGTAAGCTAAGCTGGGTACTATTACGTTATAGCGGTGATAAGAACACTAAGGTCTATTTCCGTCCCTTACGTAGAACACTTAACCTAGATAACTCATCTTGAACCTAACCTAATAGTTAATATAGCTTATTCATGACTTAAGACAGCTCATATCAAAAGTTCCGCCATTGAAGCCGAGCAGGGACTAGTATTCCCCGCATAACATCAGACATATTGATACCGACTCACAAGCTTCGGTCGAGGTTTAAAATCTGAAATTTGAAGTTTGTTGACTACCTACCGGTAGACTAGCTCGAATCAGCCTATCACGTCTCTATCCTACCCAATATACTATGTAAGACGACGTGTCTTTGCACCCGCACCTGTGGCGCAACACCAATGACTATCGAAAGAATACAGTAAGGAGTATAATCATATCCACGCACACAACCCAGTTTATTTGGTTGCTCAGTTTCTCAGTTGCTCAGTTGCTCAGTTGCTCTCGAAGCTGTACTTGAGCCAACCCCCGAGAGCCCGTAAGCTCTCCCATCGCACATTCTCGTCCGAATCCTGCATGAGCTCCATGATGCGAGTCTTTAATCCTAATTTCTCTAGTTGGTATCTCTTCTCTGGTACTTCCTTGACCAGGCAGCCGATGTCGTTGCAAGCAATTGCCAGTACCGCTTTGTCGTTCTCCCATGGCTTCGACATGATCTCTGCCAGTTTTCGTGGAATTTCACCGTTCTCAAACTCTAGAATCCTTCGTGCGTTCTCGGCCCAGAACACTTGATGGCGGTGAGGTGGTGACCATCTTAGATGCCCGGACTGAACCTCTGCGACGTACTCGTCGAATGTGGTCTTGGTCTTCTGATACTCTTCTAGCATCTCCTTCAGCTTTCCCAGGTCCTCCTGCAAGTCCGGGTCCGTAAGATGTCGGCCGCTAAAGTTTTCAAGTAGCGCAGGAAGTCTCGCTAGAACTGCCGTAGGGAGAAGCGTGGAGGGATTAGCCTCAAGAAGGTTATACAGCGTAGATAGAAGGAGGCGTGAAGTCTTATCCTTTGGCGAAAGCCGTAATAGTCGAGTATATAAAACAATGATGTCGTATTCGCTATTCACATGTTAGTTGCGATCGTTTGTACTCCAAGGGACTTCGTACTCATCCAGGTCGTTACCGATATCTTCCGCCTCGAAACTTAGCTGCCAGAGTACTAGCAGGACGTGGTATAGCAGCTGCAGCCCGACTCCACCACTAATGCCCTCGAAACCACTGCTCCTGGTCGTAGTGTTGCCGCTCCATAGACTAGCGGAAGACTCTCCGCCGACGCCCGCGGCTTTTCGAAGAATCTCGATTAAAGGAGCAACGGTCTCGCTTCTTTGCTTCCAGAAGAGTTGTCTGGATGATCGTCCGTATAGGAGAGAAGAGTATTCCATGACTGCGATATCTTGCAATCCTGCATCATTCGAGTTCTTTACCAAACCGCAGAGGTAGCTTAGGACTAAAGGCAAGGCGTGTTGCGTCGACGCGGATTCGTCTTTAGAGTTGGCCATAAGGGTAGTAAGGACGGTGGAGGTGAGTAGAGGGATAGGATCTTCAGAATTATTCGAATGCGCAAGAAGGGGTAGGAGATGTTGATACGGGTCCGGATCTCTAAATAGTGCTTTCGCGAGCGCCGGGACACCTAGACGATATTAATACGACGGGGTCATCGATTGATGATTGGTGATATAGAAGGGAATAGACGTACTTTCGAGCAGGTCGCTCAGTAAGACTAAGATGTACTGAACAACATCGGAGCGCTTGCTAGCTGACTCGAGAACGCCTGTTGTGCCCGGTTTCCCAACAAACAATATCCGGTAACCATCAAGATCGCTTTCGACCACTTGTTTTCGTTGTTCTCTTTTTACTTTATCGACTGCTCTAATCTTGGCCAATTGGGCCTCGGTGATGGTGCCTGCTCTAACTGCGCCATCCCAGGGAATCGGTCGCTGACGAATGTTGTTTTGGAGCGAACCGAGGTAAGGAGGGGGGTCGAGCGACATGATGGAGATTATAGTTGTTTAAAGGGAGCTTATGAATGTTAGTGGGTTTGTCTAAATCAGAATATTCGGGCTGGAAGCGAGCTCGAGTCGGGAATATGGTAGCGTGGCTGATATCAGAGCTCCCTGGAATAGTATGTAGAAGATGAGGTAAAGTAGCACAAGGCTTTGCGAGCTTCAGGACGGTTTAACGTTAAAGGCTGAAGCTAGGTCCCTGGTCCCATGCGCCCTTTGCACTGTTGCAATAAGCTATTATTTTAGTGGGTCTGCCGTCATAGGCACATGCAGCTTGAAACTTTAGGTACCTGTGTATTATAGGAAGTTGTTACGTAAGCAGTCATGCTTCTTTAAGTCTTCATCTAGAATTAAGAACTTTGAATCTACAAATTATATAGTATAGTAAGCTTTGTCATTATTATACTTGCGACTTAAGAGATATTTAGTTAGGAAATTGATGAGGGTGAACGGGGCCGTTTCGGAAAAGGCATACGGAGTCTAAATAGCGATAATTTCACTTTCGTATAGGTAAAGGATGCAAGTATCTCGTAAGTCTCTTCCCGAACAACTATTTCTAAATATAAGATCTTCCCACCCAACTTCTAATGATACATACTTCCGACAGTTTCCTTAAGCACTACAACTACTCAGTGGTTTCATAACCTTCTCCAGGAACTGCTCCGCAAAGTAATCATGAGGAGCATCGTCGTCTGGGAACCTACACTCAAGCAACTCCCTCACAGCACTATGATACTTGCCCCCCATCCTCCACCCAAGATCGGCAAGGGGCTTCCCCAGCATCAAATTTCGCCATTCGCTTCGGCCATTGGGCTTTTTCTTCTGCTCAGCCAGTAAGGCCCAACGTCCGATCTCACACAGAACAACCCCTAGACTATACAGGTCTTTCTTTTTAGTGAAGCCATTGTGCGCGTCGGGGTGATAATAATGTTCTACTTCTCTTCTTTCGAGAGGGGTGTACGCCAATGAACTTTCACCCTGTGGACGCGAATATTGGAATCCAGTGATAAATAGTCAAGTCACGTCGATTTCTCCGTTACACTCCTTGAAGAAGTAGATGCTTCCAGTGTGGAGTCCTTTATGTATCCATCCTGCAGCGTGAAAACAGCTGAACGCACAGGTCAGGACGTACGCGAGTTGAAAGCGATCTCCTAGCAGCGGTATTTTGGTTTTCCGGTCTTTTATCAGTCTACTAAGCTGGATTGGAGGATACGTGTAAAGATCTCTTTCATAATAAATATCGTAGCCATCGCGAGACTCATCGGGAGGAAGTCCGAACACATATCCAAGTCTCCTAACCCCATGGTTTGTATCGTATAAGTCGTCAAAAATACCATAACACGGTGGTAGTCACAACGCTGGCACACTAGCCTTCTCTAGGACATATCCCAGTGAGTTCATACGGTCGACATATTTTTGTGCGTCAGCGTCAAGACCAATCCTCAAAGTCACCCATTCAACCCGAACTTTAATCAATGTCCCATCGGCTGCTTAAGCTGGCCGATATATAGCGATGTACCAGTGAGCTTCAAATCATTCTTTGTAAGCCGGGTTGCAGAGCCATGTAAGTCTACGCCTGTTATTTGGTGGTACAACTTAGCTAGCGCTGAGATAGCCAGCGGCTGGTGGGCAATAGGGCCAAGTCCACTTAATGTCCTTAGGTCATCGTGATTGTTGACATATGGTAGGACGCGGCCTGGGGGGCTGTTTTCAAGCAGCTCGGTTTCTCTATATTCAAGGGTGATTTGATGCAAGTGCGTGATGTGAAGGCGAATTGCCTCGATCTTCTCCTTGAAGTTATCCTTGGCGAAGACAACCCAGCTTATCCTTTTCATCGGCTTTGTTTCCTTCGAGAGCTTTGCAATATCATGAACCACAGGGCCGTCGGGGCGCAAATTGTCATTAAGATCACCTATACACCCCGGGACTTTGGGAGTGCCGATATTATATTTCTCGACCAGATCATCTGCTTCTTCACTGAGCTTCTTAATACGTCCGAGGGTTTGGATTATGAGATCCTTGATATCACTTGTCTTGTCGCGAAGAATACAGCTAGAAGGGTCGTTGACTTTGCACTGCTTTCCCCAAAGCCGGAGTCGCTGCTTTTCAATGGGGTAGTAAAGGCCGAGATCGCTGCAATCTGCTGCTTCCGCCTCAAAAAGGGATCTAACAAAAATTCCTGTTTCGACAGCTCCCTTGAAAGCTGCAGCTATGCCTACGGCACCAACAACCAGCCCGGCTACTTCAGCCATAGTTGTCAGAAGAATTCCGAAAGGGGTAAGGAGGAATACTAGAGTGATATGGAATTTATAAGGGCCTTAGAATTAAGTTTATACGTAAAGGAGCTAATTGATGATGGCGATGATGGTTATGATAATGAATTCGTTCATATATGGTGGCCGTATAAGCTATCTAAGAGGTAGTGTACACTTAATCACCCAAAACGCACCAACGGCGCGCGGGACGACCGAAGCACCAAAGCAAAGCCAGCGTATCGCCTAACGAAGGAAATATTGCAAAGCTTACATGAAGCTATTTAGTCACAGCCTCCTGGTAATTTATGCAGACCTTTATATATTATTCATTACATGTACATTGAACATGGTACAACAGTAATAGAGATCGATGTACTTAGATTCGTTCGATTATAGATATATTAGCGACTAAAAGTCGACATGTAAGCATTATAAAGTCTGCTCACGACCTATATTACCACGAAGCGCTTGATAGGTTGGTAGGTAACTTGTCATTAGGTTTTGACCACAGCCTACCTAATTCTGCAACCGTTGATATATTACGTTATATTTGAATTAGTAGTATGTAATCTTTGAGTATACATAGCCTCGTATGTATATCGTGTCTAATGAAGTGATGTGGTAGCCGTCAGGCATCCATATCCTTAAACAGTGCCCATTTCCGAACCAATAATTTCAAGGTTTACCGCCTCGTTTTTCTTCCCCGTATTTTCCTTCGCTAGGAAAATGGCGGAATGAGTTGGAAGTGTATATAAACCAAATTTAATTTGCGGCTGTCTTGCACTAGGGCTAACTGACCGCGCCTCGCAGCACATAGTGATGGATTGGTTCTTAATATGAGAATTATGCCTTTCCTTAGGCACTGAGCGAAAAGCAAGAACTAATCCGTTTCAGCGAGGCTTAGATTTCCATTAAATGCCAAGGTACCTATCTACAAGGCTTACCTGCCTGTGTATATGTAGGTTGTTAGGTTAGTAGTATCGCTCTCGATTAAACTAACCTAGTGGCAGGAGTAATACCCTTTGAGGTCAGTCGTACACAAAGTGAGTGTCTAGGGTAGGTAGACCAAGTAATAGATGTATTGAACTAGTAACGCCTGGCCTTCTATCCTCTGACGAGGGCGCTTCGCGCCTCTTATATAGTCGTAGATAGACCACTGTAGCCACCCTGACATTCTATGTACCTCTATCGTCTGGCTATCATACCAAAATGATGTCACTAGAGTTTAGCAACATGATTACCGCTAGCAGAAAGTATTCAACAAAGTATGCTGGAGCTTACCTATGTTCTTAAGTGCCAGAAAAAGACAGTACATTGCTCGTTTAAATCTAATTGGTCGTACTCTTTGTAGTATTCCGAGGATAGTATGTTCTAACTCTTTTGGAAGCCTTGATTTGTTGATAATATGCTTTTCTAACATTTGAAGAGTACGTATCAGTTGTGTGGCAATATTATACCGAACCAATAAATCCAGTCCAAGCCAATTAAGATAATCTTGTAGTTAAAGCCAGCATAGCCCGTTTACTTAATATTTAAAATAAGGCCCGAGGCTACCCGAGATAAAGCTTACTTTCCTATTTAAGTTTCATCAGCTCTAATCATTTATGCCGGTATTTAAAAAACGCAATTCAACCCAATCTGGAGCACGGATTTCAGCTATATAAGCCAGCCTGCATATACGTGATTTTTTCTATTCGAGAGGAAAACCCCACGACATGTACCTTTCGAACCAAGCTACGAACCAATCCAACAAATGGCGGGGGCGGAGGGTGTTACCCCAGACGCAGGCACTGCAAGTTTACAAATATTGTCAATATCTGACGTGGAAAGGTAGCTGAGTATAGAGCCTCATTCCAGAATTATCCCTCCAAGGTGTTTAAAACGTAAACTACCTACATAACCTCCCAATGTCCCGGTCGCATATCCATATTTCTAACACCGATTCGCCGCTGCCAATCTGTCAAGTAGTTCGCTTTCACACTCAAACTATCATTTATACGTCTTCCCATAACATCCTTATTCAGAATGGGAGAATCCATCAACCTGGGTGGGACTGGCCGATATCTATCACATTTAGTGTCTGAGCATTCTAAGCATAAATACGAAAGTTGGATGGATTGTCTCAGAGAGGGATACCCGTGCTCGGTCAGTGCAATTGACATTCTAGATATCACATCTTCCGGTGATATCCAACAATGGCTCGCTACGGCCATGACGTCTACCCTTTCCACGGAGCTGAGTGGGACTGATTTAATTGATGGAACTCGGTTGATTATATTCGATTCAGGTAATCGAAAATACGTGCAAGACCAAGCCGGTGTCATGTACGATGTGGATCCTGGCTTTTTCCGAGCTATAATAATGAATGTTGATCGGCATGGGCGCTACGACGTAGTCAATCACCGTGTACCTGAGTTTCTTGCCGGTGGCCAGCCACAGTATCTGGATTTGGGCTACGGCTGGGCTGGTGTAATAATCCGTAGCAATGACAACTGTAATATTGGTAAGTCATCTAGTATATTAATTACTATACTAATAATTATGCTTACTAGTATTGGTAGTACTCGTATCTGCGTCGTATTTAGATGGTCCCTCATCTGAATTTGGAACGAAACGTTATCCTGGGAGGAACATTTACCTTGATTGTGACATTCTCTCTGAAAAATACTTACGATCTCTCCGCAAGCGTGATAAAAGTTTCTTTGCAGAGGCACAAAAAGACCCTCTCCTTTTACTGTTACCGATATTAGATATTCACGCTACCTACTTGTACGAGCGTCTCATTTATGCAGATCAATGTTTCCGCCGGGGAAGAACAAGCCCCCAAGAGAAACTAGACCTTATTGAAAAGGCTTGGGATGCCCTCCGCATGATGAGACACGACGGCATGGGTCCATTGAATTGTATTCAACAATATGATAACGACCATAATAACGGTAGAACTCACCACTCCGAAGAATATAAAAACCTAGCCAAGAGGTTCGAATGTATAGAAAGACAGATATGCCTTACAGAAACGCTAGCTCGGGACTATTTACAACACCACATTGGACTGTTTAGTCTTGATGAATCCCGTGCATCGATCAAACAGTCCAAGGTTGCTCTAGAAGAGAGCAGGCGGACAAAGCTAAGTAAGTGATATAATAACACCTCTTCATTCTCTTTTCACCTCCCTGAGTTATTTAGGTATCTAAACCTCGAGTAATTTAGTAACTGTGCTTGCAATATTTTTCGTCCCAATAAGCTTAAGCACATCCATTTTCGGAATGAACATTAATGAACTCAATGAGAATGGACAGTCCTTGTGGGTTTTCATTGCGACAACTGTTTCGATCGTAGCAGCGACAATGATACTATGGGGCTTCATGTACCAGCTTCAAAAATATAATTCGTTGCCGAGGATAAGTTCCAGATATGAGGGAAAGCCTTGGCAGACTAGGCTAGGTCGTCTTCTCCAGCTTGTCTTCCGAGGACATATTATCTGGGCCTGGAAATCAGGAATACTCGTCTCCCTCCTTACGGACGGCCGAGTAGCATTCCTTAGGTCTTGTACCGATTGTAACTCCAACGCACGCCTAGTGGTGCTACCGAAAAGGCATAACGAGCATCGTCCGTGTGACTATATCAAAGATCATCTCGGAAGAAGGGGCTTTGAATGTTCTAAGCTCGAAGATGTTCCGGAACGAAAAATTAGGTAAAGAAAAGGGAGATACGTAGGTACTTACTGTCCTAAAGTCGGGCTCTTGTGGTCTCCTGTCCTGGGGGGCACTCGGTTTTTAATAAGTTGAGGCCATATCAAAGGATATTACCAGGTGGGCGATGTGGGTGCTAGCCAATGGGAGGGCACGCATTTTCGGAAAGGGATGTTAAGGTAAGTGCTTGATGGTATAAGACCACTTGGGTACTGTCCGTTTAGAGGCTGTTTGTAAATATAAACATGAATTATATTAAAATATCATTAGTTAATACTTCATATAACATATAACAACTTTTCGTAAACTCGGGCATTATCCCATCCTCTGTTTCCTCCTTACCCATACCTCCTGGTCATCTCCAGCTTTTTCACCGCTTGCTGTGTTCTGTGTACCGGAACTGGGACGTAACTGGACTTCCCATATCCCCAACTTATAGTTGGCACGGTCTGCTCTCCCGGAGAACAAGTCAAAAGACCAGCCGTGCTTCGGGCAGGTAATCCCGACACTCAGTGCAATACCAAAGTCCTCAATATCGAATGGAGTGCCCTCAGACAGAGGATACGATGAATGTGGACACCGCTAGTCCAACCATTGGTCACCACCTTCTCAAATAACATGGTATCTCTATAAAGCATACAAAGTCAAGTATAGGTATTATAACTCACGTTGTTGATAGCGTGGACTTTGCCCTTGTATTTGAACACAAGTACTTGGTCCCGCAGACCTCCCTCGGGACGGAATATTGAGTCACCCTCAATCTGACGGGCCTGAGAGCTGTCACTGGCGGGCACGTGGAAGACCTTGCAGCCAGGGGCTTGGTTCTGCTCTGCACAGGAACGGGGTTCAGATAGAATAGTGCTGCCCGAGTCGGTGATGTCGGGGAAAGAAGAGGCTAGGCCGACGTAGAACCATGCATCACCTTTGCGAGATGGGGCTGAGAATGGTGATGCCATCGCTACTGGTCTCTTGCATGTTCCCCTAGAGAGAATATGAACACACGGGGATAATAACAGTAGCCACTTGGATCTTGAAGACGTGATGAATGGTGACTAAGAAAAAACTCGATAACGCCCAAGTCGAAAATGATAAGAAATTGTTTAAAGACTAGTGCCTAGGGTAATTACCTGTGCTTTAACTAAAAATAGGCTATTTAAAGATGACTCAACGTCTTTACGACATCTAAAATCGTTGATATAAAATCGATCTCGACAGTTTATTCCGACGAACAAGAATTGCATCATCGACAACTTTTCCCCTTATATGTGCAGCATAATCAGCATAATCAGCATAATAAGGGTCCATCTTGTGGGAACTGCATACGTACTTTCTCCTCTGACAACCGCCTTTTTAAAGCAAAATAGGTTTAATGTCAGGGGGCTATGTAGGTGTGAGCAGCATGTACGTAGATCGTGGGGTATATCCATAGAAAGCAGTTCGTGTTTGAGAGTAAGGCTTCAGCGGTGACGCCCATCGTCCAAGCAATGGGATTTCTTCCATACGACTCGAGACCTTCGGTGACGGGCTAATCCAGGAACGTGGACAGCAGTTAACCAACTGAAGACGAATTCTCAAGACCCTGCACACCTTAAGACTGCGACATTCGTAGGTGAAGTGGGGTGATAAGACTGGGCTGCCCCGTCAAAGCTCCCTGATAGGCTAAAATACCCTTGTCAGATTACTTATCGGGTCATGTACATACCTAGTGTACCTGGGCGTACCTAATCGATTATCGCTCTTACAACGTGCACGGACCAACAATCAATACCCAAGTCGCATCGGGACTTCGTACATGGATCTCTGCCAACTCACCATCACATCTGTACTTGGTCATCTTGCATATTGCGATAGAAAACCATGCCTTATTTAAGTCGCATCATTCGAGGTAAGAAACGGTTCAATTGGAAAGAAGGAGGATAGGACTAGATGACATATACAAATAAATATTACTTTCGGGTCATTTGATAAATAAACGATTACTATCTTATTTCTGGGTTTTCTCATACAAGAACAGATGATTTGACATCAGCTCCGTGACCCCTGTCAGTTTTCCAACCCCCTCTGTTTTCATCTTTCCCAAATCTTGCGCCGGAGCAAGTAGGCACCACCAGCCCCGCGGTATTTCCCAGTTGGCAGCTTTTTTTTGGCCGTCACCTTCCTCGTACCCGTACCGGAGGAGGTTGGGAAGTTGCAACCCACCCGTAAAGAGGATGCGTTAAGGAAAGAAGCCAGAAATCTTGGTCCCGATTTCTCTCTTCCTTTACTTTCCCATCTTTTCTCCTCCCTCCTCATACTTTTTCTTTTTTTCCCAGGTCTCTACAAGGTTGTTCTCGACACCAACTGTCGGTGTTATCTTGAACAGCTGCACTAATTGGTTTGGTGGAACAAACTGATCAGCCTAAGACATTTGGAAATGTAAGTCTTCACTAGACTACATTCCTCGCTTAACCATTTATATTAATCAGATTTCAGTTTTTGGAGGAGGAAAAGGAAGATAACTGACAGAATAGGCGGCGTCGGTGAGAGAGAGAGAGAGAGAGCTTGTCTCAAACTCGGCCACTTACCTCATTTCGCATTCCAATAATCTCGAGTCTCGTCCATATTTGGACCGAGCTTGATCAAAATGCGACCCAGCCAATATCAACCGCTTCTTCTCTCGTTACTCCTTCCCCTCGTTGTTGCTCACCCGTATCCTCAAGCTGTCGTTAAAAAGGATGCCGTCGCTTACACCACTACCTGGACCGAGACGAGAACCTACACTAGCACTATCAGCTCGTTCCTAGGCGACTCGACCGCACCAGCAGGAGGGTCAGACGAGCCCTGTGTACCACCTGAAGGATCAGGGCAGATCGAATGTGGCCCCATTTGCTGCGCGAGTTGGCAGTACTGCGCCTACGAGGGCCAATGTTTGGCAAACGGTGGCGGTTCCTGGACTCAATGGACCACCGTCGGCGTCGTTACCACTCAATACTCAGCTCCTTACAGGGTTACCAGCGGTAGCACCGTTATAGAGACCTCCCCACCGACTACTACTACCGGCACTGCAGCCAGCGAAACTGCTTCGGCTACAACCACACCGGCTCCCGTCGCAACCACGAGCGGTTCGTTGAGTGGAGGCGCAATTGCCGGTATCGTTGTTGGTACTATTGCCGGTGTAATTTTACTATTGCTCCTATGTTTTTGCTGCATCGTTAGAGGCCTCTGGGGTACGTTCGCCGGCCTTTTTGGTGGAGGCAAGAAGAAACGAGAGACGGAACGAATCGAGATCATCGAAGAAGGATACTCGAGGCGCGGAAGTAGACACGGTAGCGCATATGCTGGAGGTGCAGGTGCAAGTGCAGCACGACCAGTTCACCGGACTTGGTTCGGGGGTGGAGGTGGCGGAGGTCGACCCACGTCGGCCGCTGCTAGAAAAGAGAAGAAATCGGGAGGCGGAGCGGGCTGGCTGGCCGCCGCCCTAGGCGCAACCGCGCTACTTCTAGGCCTGAGGAGAAGCGACAAGCAACGCAGGACTAGCAGGGAGAAACCGCCACGAGGTGAAAGCGACTTTAGTAGTTCGTACTATACCGACTCCTATACTGCAAGCAGCCCTAGTGAGTTTATCCCCAAAAGATAAACTCCGATTGGGAGTTTACTAACCTTTTTTTCCTACAGGTAGTTTAAGCTCGGACAGGAGGACACGCGATACGCGACGTTCCAGAAACTCGAGAGGAACGAGAGCTTCAAGACCTTCAAGAGTCTCTCGGGGACCCTCGAGGAGAAGCTAAACCACCGACTCCAGCCTGTATTTTTACGAATCCTTCCCTACCCTTTCGAAATTGAGTTTACAATCCCCTTCGTCGCGAGATTCTTTTTTCATTCACACCGACATACATACCACGAATACCCCTACCTATACTTACACCACATCACTAAAACGGCGTTTCGGAAAGCGGAGATGTTTTCCTCTACCTAGACTAATTGACGAAGGGTTGCAACGAGACCAACTGGAAGATGAAATGAAAGATGATAACCTACGTCGACATATGAGTAGCATGGGAAACGAATACGAACTGGAGGGATTGAGATGAGCCTCTGAAACTTTGTACATATGAAACAGATAATGAGGACGGTCGGCTAGGCAGGCTCGGTAGGAGAATGCCAGGGGGAGCTTGCCTGGAAATGGGATGTATGGACGGAATAAATGGATGTCCAGATAGTTACTAACCTATGAATGGACATTCGGTGCCTCAGGGGGATTTCCCCAAGGCTATCTAATGGAGATGAGATCCATCGACTCTACATTGACCCTCTATTGTGACTTGAGCGCTATGTTAGTTTCCGAGATGAACACTTTACGTAGCCTATTAGGGGGATTTTCAACTATGGGCTCTAGTCAATAAGGAAGGGAGAGCTAAGAAATAACGTTGAGTATAATCTACTTCCTCTTTATTCCTATATGGTTACTTGGTCTGTTTCCTCTTCATTGGTTATTCCACTTCCCCTAGCCACCTCGTATGTGTATTTCCAAGATATTCATAACGAAATGCCTGCGAAGTTATGGTAGAAACAGGTAGGCATTCTCAACCTCTAGTTAAGTCTTCTATTGTTCGTAAATTACACATACTAATGATTTAAGAACAGCGCTTGTGATAAGTCAATCGACCTACATAGGTTAGGTACGTAGGCAAAGTACTACGCTTCCAAGGCCCGTGTAGTTCGTACTGTTAGATATAAATAACGTAATTAATAGAATATAAATACTATTACGAAATTACTTTTTAGTGGTGTAGTGGTATGTTCCACAGGTACGATGGTAAGACACTTATAGAGTTATAGCCTCGACATAGGGGGCTTGCTTCATGCTAAGCCCTGGGTAGGTAACTCTTGTCGACTTGTGGCTCAAAGGTAAGATGAAAGGTAGGCAGTGCGTATAGATGATAATAGGATTCATATGCACAACTATTCATCCTAGGAATACATTTTTTTGTGATTATTCCTTGGCTTATTTAGGCCTCGGGGCTATTTCCCATGGATATGCTAGGTTGGTAGGTTAGGTACCTAAGTAGGTGAGTCTTAATCACCGCAGACGAAAAGAATCTAAAGTCTAGAGCTATCTAGGTAGCGGAACGCTGAGAACAGGGCTCGGACGGGGATGGTATACTGGGATTTCGGGATAACTAGGCCAGTCATTTGGGAGATTTAAGGATACGGCGAGGACATCGAGTAAGTGCGGATAGCCATACCATCAACACTTTGCACAAAGTGACTACGTACCAGCCACACAACCCGTGAAGCATTCGGCCAGCATCAAACAAGAAACACCAAGAAGTCAACTGGTCTTGACACGGGTAGCATATCACAACAGCAAATCACCTCATCAAAGCATATACCAAAGAAGCACTCTCAAACCCCCCAAAATCTCACATTCACACATCTACAAACTCCCTAACACGCCTCTCGACGTCCCCAGCCCTCTAACCCTTCAACTTCTCCAACAGCAACTTAGACCCCATATTCCCCACAGCCGGCTCCTTCTTCGACCCAGCCTTCTTCCCCTTCTTCTTCTTCTTTTTGTCCTCGGCGCTCACCTCCTCCCTAGCCGCCTTCTGCTCCGGCGTCTCCTCCGTCGCCGCTTTCTCGAGGGCCTTTTTATTTTTCTTTAGCGTGCTTTTTAGCTCGCTCTTGCTCGAGAAGTCGTCTGCTTCCAGGAGGCTGAGCACGACGAACGAGCTCGGGCCCGTGGCCCATGCCATGATGTGGTCTTTGATGAAGGGGTATAGGATGTCTGCGAAGTGGAGGGGTGGGTCGACGGGTATTATGCGACGGGTCGCTTTGTCGAAGTGGCCGCCTGCTATCAGGGTCTTGAACATGCGTCCGCCGTGGGGAGCTTTGGATATGTGCTCCACGGGGATGGGTTCGGTTTCCGATTCATCGGCTGGTGTATCTGCCTCGTTGGGGTTTCCCTTTGCGGTCGATGCTATTGCTTGCAAAGCCTCGGATTTGTCTCCAATGCAAGAAAGAAGCGCCTCGGTAACCAATTGAGACCCGTGGGAAGTAGAGATTAAATCTAATGGTGACGAAGCAATCGCAGAAAGTAGTTGTGGTGATAATGCCGTGACCAATTCCTTTCGACGGATCTCGGGGTCCTTCTTACTTGTTGTCTTTCGAATCTCCCACAGCTCCTCGAGGAGCTTCAGGTCATCAGCGCGACCAGCGTCGAAGAGTACCTTAGACGCACCCTCGAGTGGGTATCGTATTGTTAAGCGAGCATTCGGATCATTGGCAGCGATCACAACATTTGAAACTTCATTTTGTTCCGTTTTGCCTAGTAATTCTGTTATGATGGACTTAGAAGTTAAGACGGTATCATCAATTAGGTCGTAAGCGGCGAGAATGATCAAGTGTCCATTTGGATCACTCGACATAAGTTGAAAAGTATCTTTATATGTCTTAAGGATCTGTTTCCGGTCCTTAGCTGATCCATGGGCAAGAAGCAAGCATACGAGTCGAGCACCCGATTTCGTGAAAGCCATGTTCTTGAGTAGGTCGCCGTTCTCGTCCTCCTTGATCATTTCCATGTATTCTTTAGCTTCCTCGGTTCCTGGTTTTACATTGACGTAGTACTGGTACATAGCGTCGTGCAGCATCGTAAACCCAGTCATCTTCTTTTGGATAAGCTGGTTGGTCAAGTCGAGCAGATATTTCATGATCGGCCCTCGTTTACTTGGTTGTTCCGCAAGGATCTGAGAAAGCTCGGCCGTGGGGATGGCCTCACCCTCCGACGTAGCTCGGAAGATGTGGAACTCTGGCCCATACCACTCTCTTAATAGAATGGCCTTCTGCTCCTTGGTGGCAACGCCTCGGTAAATATCATCCAGGATCCAAGAAGCTTCGGGGTGGTTGATGAGTTTCCTAACTCTGCCGTAGAATTCAGGAACTATCATATCTCGGATCTCGTCATCGCCTTTCACAAGAAGCTTGCCAATTAAGAATTTGGCATACTTGCTTTCGGCTAGTATAGGATATGCACCCCTCAGCTCCTTCGCAATCATCTTCCGCCGTTCAGGGGTCGCATACTTGATAGCGGTCTGGACGACACGGACGGAATCATGTTTGAGCACAAAGTCCTTCATACGGCCTGTAGCAATGCTAAAGAGCTCCTCGACGAGTTTTTGCCGTTCATCTTTCGGAACCTTGGATTTCAACCGTAGTCTCTCCCAGAGCTTCTTTGTTCGTTGCAATTCATCGGCCAGGGGCTTTGCCGCTTTGCGCTCTTGGGCTAGTTGTTTCTGCTTTATGTGCGACTCGCGCGAGTTTTGACCTGCGTGTATAGTGTTAGCTATGTTGGGAAGAATACTCTCGCTTCGGCTAACCTTTTTCAAAGGTCTTCCCAGGTTGATTGCCATCAGGTTTTGACCGGAATGGTATATCATCATTCTCTTGCATATCTATATCGTTCAAAGCAGCGCCACCATCTTCTCGGTCCGAAAATTCGCTGATCTCGCTATCGTCGCTAACATCTTCCTCCGGCTCCTGTTTTCGCGACGGTTTCTTATCGAACTTGGGCTTCTTGCTTGAATGTTCTTTGCTGCTATTGGTAAGCTTCCTTTTGCTTCTGAGCGCATCACCTTTGGGCGCCATTGCGAAAATGTTAGAACAGGTAAAGTTTATAGCAGGTTATTCAATGGACTTATCATGCAGTACTTTTATTATTTTATCGAAGTTCTGCGAATCCAAGAACTAAAAAATATTTAGTGGAACCCCTATAATGCCGGGCGGTGAAGGCGCAATTGTCGAGCTTTCAACCCCGCGGCCCCACCTAATTCCCACGCTACTAGCAATGCAAGACGGCAGCCGGTGGTGGGATTACGCCGGTAGGTAACCTACTGCTTATAGAATAATCCAAAATATAAAAACTACCTCCTAATGAACCTTCCACTTATACATAAAAGTCCCATCCTGTAAATAGATGCGTTAACAAGATCCCCATGCACCACCATGGGCCGAGAAGAGCAAGTCGAAGAACGCGAGGTTCTCGACTCCATCTTCCCAGATGAAATCACAGGTCCGTGACTTTTTAACTTTTTCGACCCTCACACAATTCCTATGCTACCTACCTAACGCAATCTGAAATCTACCCCGCCATCATCACCAGTAAATTGACATAGTAGCTCATAAAAAATAATAAAGACATTTCCGAGACCGAGTACCGCATATCCATAAAACTCGACCTCCCCGACGACAACAACAACGATGACGAAACCGACGAGCCCCCAACCCTCATCCTGCACGTGCGGTACCCGGACGCCTACCCCGACGAGGCGCCCATCCTCGACCTCTCGCCGCCGCAAAACGCCGCCCCGCACCCGCGCTTCTCCGTCGCCTCGGACAAGGCGCAGCTGCTGAGAGGGCTCGAGGGCACGATCCAGGAGAACATGGGGATGGCGATGGTGTTCACGCTCGTGACGGCGCTCAAGGAGGAGGCGGAGCAGCTGATCGGCGAGCGGCGCGCGGTCGCGGCCCAGGCGCGCGAGGAGGCGCTGCTGGCCGCGGAGCGCGAGGAGAACAAGAAGTTCCACGGCACGCCCGTGACGCCCGAGACCTTCCTCCGGTGGCGCGAGGGCTTCCTCAGGGAGATGGAGGAGAAGCAGCGCCGGGAGGAGGAGGAGAAGCTCGCGGAGCTGAAGAAGGCCAAGGTGAAAGAGCCGGTGAGGTTGACGGGCAAGCAGCTCTGGGAGCGCGGGTTGGTGGGTAAGATTGACGAGGACGACGATAGTATTCCCGTCGAGCAGGTTGACAAGCTCAAGATTGAGGCGTGAGTAAATAAGGAAGGAGGTAGATGTGCGGTGGACACAGTATTACTATCTCGGGACTATGGTGAGCACCACTCATGGGTTTGGCGCAAATCAGGGAAAAGAAAGCTTGGGGGGGAAAAAAAAATCAGAGAATTGCCTCATTTATAAACATGATATGGCATGATGAAAGCATCGCCCGCCCCTTTTTTTTCGGATTTCCTAACGCCATCCATGCCAGAACAAGATCCTTAGATCTCGTGGTATCTTCCATCTATAGTATCAAAAGTTCCCTTTCTTTCGTTGATTCCTTCCTTCCTTCCGTCCTTCTTTCACTGCCGCCGATAAACCCAATCAACCCTTCATCTCCTCATCGCTTCCCTCGTCCTCGTCCTCGTCCTCCCAATCCTCCTCATCTTCGCCCTCGCCAGCCGGCGCCTCGCCAAGCTCCTTAGCAATAAGACCTAGTAATTCCTGCGCGTGCTCTCCTAACCGCTCGTCCTCGTAGTCTTGAAGTTTATATAAGTGCTGGCACTGGTTCAACCACACGCGGCTCGATATCCACGACGCCTTCCAGTCCTCCTCGCTCGCCTTGCCCGCCTTCTGCTTCTCGCCCATGACGTAGAGGCCCCAACCACCTAGATACCAGACCTCGACGCTCTGATCGTCCTCGCTAACCAGGCGCTCGAGAACTTCGATAGCCTCCTGCTCCATCTCGACCTCCATAAGCAGCCTCGCAAGCGCAACTCTGCTCGGGAAATCAGGCACCGAGGGGTCTTCAGGCGGCAAATCCTTCCACAGCTCCAAGCTCCTCGTCAGCGCCGCCTTCGCATCATCGAACCTCTCCTGAGAAATGCGCACGTTGGCCAAAGTCTGCCAAGTCTCCGCGAAATCCGGCGCCACCATCGTCGCCTCCGTCACCAGGGTCTCGCACCTCTGCTCGGCGTCCTCCTCCCACGAGAGATCCGTCATGTAGACCTCCGCGACGGAGCACAGCGTCATAGCCAATTTCTTCTTGAGCTCGTCTAACGAGATGGTCTGCTCGTCAGTTCTCCGTCGCGCGCCCTCCAGAGTCTGGATCTGTTTTCTAAGCGCCGCGGCGCCCTTCTCGAACCACGTGACGCTGTCCTGGCCGCCCTCCTCGCTCAGCTGCGCTAGACACAGGAATTTCTCCGGACCGCCTCCGAAAGCTTCATCTTTGGCGCCGTCCGCGTCGATCGCGACGGCCTGTAGGAAGTACGCCCGCGCTGCCTCGAATTCGCCTGCCTCGAGGTTGATCTGCCCGAGCAAGTTCAGCGCGGATAGCTCGTCATCCGAGCCTTTGGATGATTGCTCCAGCGCTTTCTCTGCTAGTGTCAAGGCATCTTGAACGTTACCCGCTTGTAATTGGTATTCGGCCGCCTTGACTAGAACTTCTGGAGTGACGGGTTTAGAAGCGCCGCCTGCTGCCCTGGAAATCGCTGCCTTGTCTCGTTTTTTTGACTTCTTATCCGGTCGTCTTGGCGCCATGATGTGAGGTAATAACAGTTTAAAACCTTCGAAAAATAGGACCCAGAAAAGTCAAAGCTGAGTTGTTGCGCTCACAATTGAAACGAATGTAGGTCGTAGGTTGTAGGTGGTTTCGATGAAAATTAATCGATAATGCCGATAAGACCAAATATTTTAGTCTTATCGAATTGTGTTTAATCGCTGACGTGGGGTCGGCCGTCGAAGTTGGCGGGGATGCGTCTAACCTCGCTTATTGAATAATACCTGCTTACTGTATCTCTTCTTTAACCGAACAAGATATAAATCTCACAACACATAAATATCAAGTTCCAAGAGTCAAGTATATTCACATTTTAAGAAAGAGGTACCTAATATATACGTGAATCGAGGCAAGACATTATATCGTATTTAGGCCATTACGAGCTGATATCTTATTCTTCATATCAGATGTATAACATACCATACCATACCATTACCATTGTAACTCATTACCCCTTTTCTCCCATGGCCGCCCAGATTTCCCGGCTTCGACTGTTCTATCTGCCTCTTGTTCCTGACCACCTATGAGCTCAGTATGGTGGAAGCGAGCGACTAAACCTGAAATAACTGTACAAGGGGCAAGCGACCGCTCAAATATCATGATGCCCTTCCTATACCACCTAAACGCCATAAATCTATGCATGTTGTGTTGATCTCATTCATTCGTACGGGACATTACTGCATCTCTTGCTCTTCAATGGACTGTCGGGATTTTGGTCGCTCAATATTGCCCAATTCCGACCCTTGACCGCTTTGCGCTCTTTTGCGCCCAGGGATAAACCGAGACATTCCTAGTCCTTGTGTATGCACTGGAGATTCTTGCGACTCGGAAAACTTGGCAAAGAATCCTCTCTTCTTCGGCTGTTGCTTCTGATCATCATTTAGTCCGACGTCCTCGAAACCCTCTTCGGCGGTCGGCGGATCCCAGGGACGGTTTCTGACGGAGATCCTCGGCGATCGAACAAATCGGGCAGAATCAAGACTTTGGCGTTGTGGATCATGGGCCATGACTGGCGACCTAGCAGAGATATCCTTTAGACACAGTTAGTTGGAAGTATAAAGACATGGTAAGTAGAAATGTGACATACAAAGGACCGGCGGTAGGAATCGAAAGACTCGCGAGAAATAGAGAAATGTTCAATATCGCCAAAGCTACTACGGGTATCCATGGATGTTCGAGACGCAGCCGAACGTCTCGGCCACAGAGCCTTGTCTTCCGTTGGCGAAGGCTAAGACATTAGTTAGTGACCGGAATACGGGGTTTAAAAAAATTTTTTGTTCCTCGCAAGGGAGGTCAATTCATACCGGGAGATAGACTCCGCTATCGTTTACCACTATAATCGAAAGTCAGGCTATGTTTTCCCGGGCGCACGGTTCCAAGGCGCAGGACATACCGCTCATCTTGTAATCTCCGTTGTCCCGACTCTTGGTACTCCGGATGCTCAAAGAAGAAGACGCCTTGGAGCCAATTATATCGACCTTTTCGAATCCGGCTTGCGGGGAGACCAGCGCACCGGGCCGGACGTTCTCATCCTTGATTTCGAGGTTGAGCGCGCCGGGACGTCTCGCGAAAGGGTTACGGATTGGCATTGTCGGGGATATCCTTGCGCTAGTTAAATAAAAAGCGATAGTAATTAAATTGATTCGAGGCAACTTTGTCAAGACAGACGCATTGAGCGAATTTGAACAGTGGAAGTAAGGAAAAATAGGAAAGTAGTTGTGTAAGTTGTTGTTTGACAAGTGAGATTGATCGCAATTGGGGATTTGATGGAGTGGAATTGGAATCGCGGGAATAGTAAGTACAAATCGGGTCGGACCTTTCCTAACTTTAGATTACTTGACTACCTACCTGGTACTTTAAACCGTACGACCAGGGTTTTTCATAAGAGACGGAAACGGGAAAGGACGAGCCCCGGATGCCGGATAGGCGATGGTGGACGGTGGGACTTTTTGTGCAAGTTGAGCCTTTTTCAACTTTCGTAGGTGTAGGTACCTTTCTAATTTAGAACATTACATACTTGCGATCATAGCCATGTACAACTCTACTCTTTTTTCTTCATTTGTCCTCTAAGATTTAACGGCCCTAAGGTTGAATTAAAAATTTTTTTTTAAAAAAAAACTAGAATGACGATCGTATGGGTACAAATTAATCAGGTCGTTTACATACCTACACACGTGTACTGCGCCTTTTGGAATGGTTTCTGGGGCATCCCTGTCTTCCCTGTTCCTCGGGCTTATGTACTATGTACAACCACCAGAACAACCTGCAACATCCTGCAACAATTCCAGTTTTCTTTTGACTTGTACCTGACCTATCCGAACAGGACCTGCACCACCCATTTGCTCTCTGCGCTTCTTAGTCCCTTTTTGCAGTAATGGGGTATTGATCAACGTCCTGATTTAGTAACCGCTTAGTATTCTTTGGGTTATCTACATATGCACACCTAATTTTTCTAGTTGCTGCGAAAAGGACCAAACAGCCTGCCGAGGTACCCGAAGTGCTACAATGACATACTTAATACTAGTTTTTAAGTTGACGTAACTATGTCATTTTTATGTAGTTACAGTAATATTGAGATTCCTTTGGGAAGATCTACAGATGGCGATGCTTATAGCCTTTCTTTAATAGGATCAACCGACATTCTCGGCCGCCTCTAACACTTGTTCTATTCGCCACCAGCAACCCTTCGTATAAGCGCTAGACATCTAGTTCGCTCGGCTAGATGATGTTATATGTACCAATAGGCTGAGCAAACACAAAGCCAGCCGCACCTACATAGGCCCTAGGGATAGTCCTAAGGATAGGCCGTCCCTGATAATAAGAACAATAGAAAACTATAGTAGAAAGAGTGTACAGAGGTTACCTAGTTGGTTGGCCTCCTTATCTCCGGGTCACATGCTATGTCGCCATGAATCGACAACTACACTAAGTCCCGCATCCAACCCACATATTATTACCAGAATCCAGGGACCTGACCCAAAACCTTATCTCTTTGTCCTTGTCCCTGATCAATGAGCCTAGAATTCATTACTCGATACTTCAAATACTCCCACCGCCTAACAAATGTGGAACGAAACGCTTCACATTAACTTCCAACACTAAGAAAGCGAGGACGCCGATATTGGTCCGATACTCGACTCCGGACACACGCTACTAGGTTACATAGGTATGTATATACATGGAATGTTTGAAATCCGGGATGCGAGATCATATATGCAGAGGTAACAACATTTTTTATCATTCCGTAAAACTCATCGCTAGTTGAAGACAACAGTCTTATGCCCGTTCAAAAACACGCGCTTCTCGCTCCACCACTTGACGGCCGCAGCCAGGACCTGGCTTTCGACATTGCTTCCCTCCTCGACCAATTCCTTGGGGCTCATGCTGTGGTCGACGCGCGCGACCCTCTGCTCGATGATCGGGCCCTCGTCCAGGTCCGCCGTGACGAAGTGCGCCGTGGCGCCGATGATCTTGACGCCGCGCTCGTAGGCCTGGTGGTACGGCTTCGCCCCCTTGAACGACGGCAGGAAGCTGTGGTGGATGTTGATGATCTTCCCGCTCATCGCCGAGCACAACCCCGGGCTCAGCACCTGCATGTACCGTGCTAACACCACTAGGTCGATGTTTTCTTGCTTGATCAGGTCCAGGATCTGGCGTTCTTGCTCAAGCTTCGTTTCCTTGGTTACCGGGAGATGGTGGAATGCGATTCCGTAGCTCTCGGCTAGGGGCTTGAAGTCCGGGTGGTTGGACACTATTAAGGGGATCTCAATGCCTAGCTGGTTTGACTTGGCCCTGAACAATAGGTCGTTCAGGCAGTGTCCGATCTTAGATACCATAATCAAGACTCTGGGCTTCTGGCTCGCCGATCGTAAGTCGTACTGGTCCATCTCCATTTCCGCCGCGAGCTTAGCCATAGGCTCATCTAAGTTAGCCGTGGACTCGGCATGACCAAAACGGACCCTCATGAAAAACTTCTGAGACGTCCGGTCTGAGAATTGTTGCAAGTCTAGGATATTGAGACCATGATTTGCCAAGAGCCCAGTGACGGCGTGGACGATACCAGGCTTGTCCGGGCAGGACAGCGTGAGGATATGATCATCGTTTGAAGCCATTATTTTCTCGATTCCCGTGAAGACAGATTTCACATCAAATTTTTAGTATGTTGCCAATGGCATGACTAATTCTCCCACACACCGGACGTAGTGACGCTTTAGTAGTCTCGGCTGGAGATCGGGCTCGGTATAAATGCATAGCGTTTTTGCATCTAACTAGACTAAATATCCTAAATATGCGATAAAAAGAGGCCACATTGAATTACGGTCTATCTTACGTATATTATTAAGTCGCGCGCCGTCTTGGTCATCTTGGATAAAATCCTTAGGGTCATGTTATAGTCTTGCTTAGTTTATGATTCGCTGATATAGTCTTGTAATGTAGGTAAGCGAGATGATCTTCTTGTCTTATATAGTATTCGACAATATTCGGCGGCTCTGATGTCAGCTAAGCATTGTACAATAGAAAGGAAATGAAATGCGGGCACATATACTGCGTGAGATAATAGAGAAAAGACAGTGATCGCTTATTGGTCTCGAAATAATCAGTCTCAACGTGCCGAGTCAACAGGATCTATAGAGATTATATAGATCTATCAGCACCTAAGACATTAATAGGCTTGGTGTGCGTGGCTTCGATATTGAATGAAGGCTTAACTATTTGAGCCTCAGTCTCAGAATGAATACCTAGGTAACTAACTACATACCATACCCATGTACAATACCAACGTAGTTAGATAATCATCTGCTTACATGTGTTACCGGCGGCTAGCATCTTGCGCCAGGGTCTAGTTCTTAGATGCGGCACTTGATCCTTGAATCCTTCATTAGAATATAAGAGATCAGGTTCCCAGAATCGATCTCGCAGTTTTGCGGCACGAAAATCTTCCGCGCTTATTATATAGCACTTAGATAGGTAGGCAGAGTAGAATAATTGCCATGTTACCCCATCCCGGAAAGGCGAGCCGTATTTCAGCTACCCAAAGCTACTATCATTTTGCCGGATGCGGGAACGTACATAATACCACGATATATTGATTTCTGAACAATCACGTCAACTACATCTTATTGGCTAATAAATTCTCGCCCATTCGACCCCTCGACCTTGTACTACGATATTTTTAACCTTATGACTTGGACTTAACTTTTTATAGGCGGGATCGGTGTGGTAGGGCGTGCTGGGCGTGGCATATCCCGGCTTATACATAAGCCATCCGACAAAGAAAAAAAAAAGGGTTTCCATCACCAAAACGTCAGGTCCGCCCGATCGGGTTGTCCGATGCGCATCTGCGATGATGGATGATGCTAGACAGCTAGATCAGAATCTATTAGAACTTACATATGCGCTCTTACTATGTAGCTTGGGGGGTTCTGCCAGCACAACACAACCAACATCGCCAAGTCGCCGCTAATGCCCGTAGACTTCGTATTCTTACCCCCCGATACCGATTCGTCGGCAAGGGATAATTGAATCAAGGCTGACTTAAGTTAGAAGTTAGGGAGCGAGAGGGAGGAAAAAACAATGCTTACAATAAATACCCAAAACCAATATGGTCTCATTATGGAAATTGATGGTTGCCAGAAACTTACGCAAGGGGTACGTATGCTTTATTTATCTATCGATCCTTTCGACCTTGTCCTGGGTCGTGGGCCGTGCTAGAACTTCGCTTCCGGTTAATTAAAATCCATACCTGAATCCTAACGTCTTTCCCTTAGCTCGGGAGCGTATACGGTAGGTTACTCACCGGCGACCTGCAGCTGTTGGTGATACGCTGGCACCGTGACGTGATCAATCGACCTGCACCGTGCTTTCAGATAGGCGCGCAAAAGCTCAACTGACTTCTACCGGCCCATCCCGTTGCACAGAACGTCGTAAAAATGGATATATGCCTGGAATCGGACTGTATTGAACGTGTTGAATAAGAACCTATCCATGATACCCTCCGCAAGCCACTAGCGCATGCGTTAGAGGCGTATTGCAACCATATGCCATCACGTTTACGGTTTGGTAAGACAAACGCCCCAATAGTCTGCCGTTGGGTACTTTTGTCAAAGCATAGCTCTGGTCTTGTTCCAAAGATAGCAAATAGCTATGTTTATATGCAAGTGTTAGCGGGTACCTGGGCCTTCTGTCAAATATCGATGAATTATGCTGCTGGTATCCGTAGTGCCGTATCTGACCTGCGGAGTAACCATAAAGTTTTATATCCGTAGAAGCGCCCTCCGTTTGACCACCTGGAAAGTAAGAAAAATCAAAATTATCATTATCGATCCTTTCTACCGTCCGTTAGGCATAAATCATCGTATATTCGTTTTTAGTTTGCCCTTTCCCTTTTGCCTTTTGCCTTTTGCGCTGCGTGCTCTGGATCCTTCGATTCTGTCCCCTGGTATAGGAACGCGCGTTATTCTGTACCGGCTATATTCAACCACCACCTCTGGTTGGAACACTACTGGATAGGGACCTCCAATTAATATACTAGTTCTCGGTCCTATAGTTAGCCTCACGTTCGTAAGTTCGGGAAGTCTATTCGCAACCCCCCACATCAATTCGGCTTCGAGTGTGAAGAAGAAGGAAGACAATATAAGGCTTTTTACACAGGCCCGTTCACGAGATATATCGGCTGGTCCTCGTCGTAAGGTTACCTCCATCATCGACCCTTTCTCCTGCACCAGCTTAGGAAACGTTGCAAAGTGCAAAGTGCAAAGGGTGATCGACATCAGGTGGGCACTTCCGTTGACGTTCAGCTCTTCCGCCCTGCCATCTTCAGCTGCGTCCATTTATAGGAGGCTCTCATTCGTCCCGGAGTATCATATTATCGACGGTACACAACATCGAAAAAGTCTCCTCGTATTCTGTTGCGGGTGCACAACTCAGAGAACCGGTTTTAACGGTCATTTCCGCGCGAACCTTAGCGAACCTTATGATCAACTGATTTTGTAACAATCCTTTTTGGTTACTAATCTTCGGATATCGCGAAGTAAGATCGAGAATATTGAAAAGACAAAGTTCGTACCTACCGGACTTTAAAAATAACAAAGTTAGTTTGTCGGTAAAGCACCTTGACCTCGACGGGCCACGACTTCCCTCCTTATTCAAAACGCATTAAAGGGGTCCGAGCCGTACCTCCCCTCCGCCTATAAAAAAAAGTCGCCTGGGTTTGGATGTGCATGTAGATGTACTTCTGGTCGAACTAAACATTCTTTCGGCGCTTCACCAGCGCTCGTTCCTCCTACTACTTCTCTTCCTTTCGGTTTTTTTCTTCATCCCAGCATTTCATCATTCGTTTCTCTCCTCTGCCCCTCGTCGGCGTAATTGGATCACATCATCCATCATTCGTTTTTTTTCTTGCTTTGGATAATTTGACTTGGGCATCATCTATCCTAAGCATCTCAAAATGATCAAGTTTTTCGTCAACTGGCAATTATGGCAGCAGATGACCTTCGTAAGTTGCTTACTCCGTAACCCCTATCCGTCTATCTCGCTCATACCAAATTAAAAGATCCTCGCCGGTGCGATCGTCTTAGTATTCTTTGCTGGATTAATTAAGTTGTGGTGGTTGAATAGATTTATCAAGAAGCATACAATACTTGACCTAGAAAAGAAGGCTAGGCAACAGGAGATGCAGAGGAGCGGTCTTCCGATAGGCAAGAAGGTGGATATTCCGTTCGGCGTGCGCGCAATCCAAAGCGGTATCGAAGTTGACGGTATCTGGATCTCACGGCCTAATACTCCACTCTTTACTCCAACCAGCCCGTCATTCGCTTCTTCGTCAACTCTCGAACCCGAAACTAGGTTGAAAGGAAAGGAGAGGGAACTTGCTGTGCATACGGCGACGACAGTCATCGAAGTTGAGCCTACCCCCGAACAAAGTCCGCTACCGAGTCCTGCCGTTAGCTTGTCTGATCGGCGCGTCCCAACCGCGGCCGAACATAGCCATACCAGAGCATTCCCTCCCGGTGCGCAGCCAACTTACCGACCAAAGGGTCCATCGCACCGTCGAACGGATATTACCGAGACCTTGGACGTGGATGGATTAAACCGATATGAATGTAACACGGCTAGCCACCAACTAGTCGAAACTTACGTCCCAAAGCACTCGTTCTCTAGCACGGAATCGTCGTCGCTGTCTTCCCTGCAAAGGACAGTTGTAGACCGTGGCTCGACTTCTTCGGAAGAAGGTATCCGCCATGCACAGGCACGTTATGTCTCTCGCCTCCGACACTCCGCGTTGCCTACACCCCGGACCTTAATTTCCTTCGAAGACCCTGAACCTTCGGCAGCTACCGTGGAATACTTCACGTCTCCTGAGCAGAGGAGGAATCCCTTCGAAACGCCTTCGTCTTCCGAGGCGCAGTCAGTTTCCCGTCCCCCGCTAGCTTCAAATAGACCGACACCTCATCGGTCCTACTCTGGCGAGTCGCACGCGAACACATCAACCAGAAGAGTAAACGCGGGGTTTGAGGTGTTACCAGCCGGGACCTTTAGCCGACCCGACGGCCAAACCGATACAGACGAGAGCCAATCTAAGAGGCATAGTAATAATAAGCTTCAGAAGAAGACCCGTGATCGGTCGTCAAGGGAGACGTCGTCGCCAACGTGATAAATCAGTGTACATAAAGGGCGTAGAATAGAAAGGAGACCATGATGTTGCTGATGTTGACACTGCACACACAAGCGTTGTTCCTCGAACATTGTTTCTCGGGCGTCGATAACACGTTACACGCGAAAAGAATGTAGATAGATTTTTGCTCAAGCGAACCTAGGGTAGTTGCATCGAGGCAAGACGGGGTGGGATACCGGCATTCAAATCGGCGTTCGTTTATACAGGGAGGGGAAGAGTAGGACGGGACAAGAAAATAATCTGGGGGAGTATGTAATTGACCTTTGAAACCGAAACCTTTTTTGTATACCCAACGTTGGAAAAGAGGAGGATATACGTTACTGCGCTAGCGTTATGATAGTTACCTACTTGTATCTTACGTATGATTAATGCAAAGCGCTTGGTTACATGTATGACGGTGAAACGAAACTTTGTATGTCCAATATAGAGAAATTTGATGTCCTCCACTTGAATGAACCGTTCGCTCTTATAACCGGTTTATAATAAAAGAGTGAAGAACATGAGGGCATTGAGATATATAGGAGTAGGCATGAGTGAGTAGGTAAGTGAGTTTCATCTGGAAAGGGGGTGTCGTCCACTTTTCATACACTAGGCGATCCGCATTCCGTCGATCGAAGGCCGTCGACCGGGACTTGGACAACACCTACTCGAAATAAAAATTGAAAAGCGTGAGAGGGAATAGGACACCACTCTAGGTTCTCAATTAGTATATATATATATATACATACCTAAAGACATAGCCTACCTAATGTAAAGGTAACCTGGCGTTTTGGTCAGATGGGCGTCCGCCGTCAGCTCATCGCCGCGCTAATCACGAGCTGGATCGCCACCCCTGCTAGATCTACCATGGCATTCCTGGTTGGCGGGTCGAGGCTGCTTAGTGCTAGGCCAGAGTTAGTCATACCTAGTCATAACGGAGGATACATCGTCTTAC